GTCCACAGACGTTCATTGCGAATCAAGCTCCAGTGTATGCGGGTGCCAAAATAGCCATTGTGATTTGCTCTAGTGTTTCCCTTGGTTGTTTGATAGCCATTTACTTTTCGTATTTTTGGGACAACAAGAGACGTGATGCATTACTCCCGGTCGACATGAGCCATATCGAGCAGTATGAATTTGCCGATCTCACAGATAAGGAGAATCCAAACTTCAGATATGCTCTTTGAGGTAGTTTAGAAGTATGTATAACATTTTATATCAAAGTTATCTATTACACGGAAAGAGTCGAAAGTTAACATCGTGAACAGCCAAAGCAAAGCAATTTTTCTATCTCAAGTTGTGGCGGAAGTAAGACACGCTCTTTTGTTGTAACTGTTGTTTCATTCAACTATATCTTAGCATCGAAAGATTGAAATTGTGTGCAAAAGAGAGAACGACACGGCGGTGAAAACAGAAAAAAAAAAAAAAAAACAAAAAAAACAAAAAAAAACAGAAAGTTACTCTGTCGTGGATCGGAAAAGCTTCTTGCCTGGTACATCAATCAAGAGAAAAAGGCCAATATTGAATACTTTTTCAGTCAGCAAATCTGCATTGACCTACACTGACCCGTATCTTGAATAGCTGATGCACATAAAATGGGAAAGAACAAGAAGAAAAGTAAAAAGAACGATGACACAGAAGACGACACCAAACGACAACCTTCTGTCGATGATACTCAACCATCCGAAAAAGAGCTAACCACGGTATTGGAAAATTCTAAATCTTCACAAGAAGCGATTGAGTCAAATGGAGGAGCAACAATTGAGCCACAATCGAATGAGGGTGACGACAAACTGATATTGGAAAAGTTGCAACAAGTTGAGAAGGAACGGGATGATATAAAACGCTCCTATGACAATCTAGTCAGCAGATTATCCTCATTCAAAAGTGTATTTGCCAGCATGAAGAAGGCCGAGGTTGAACTCGAAGAGAAAACTGACCTAGTGGAGAAGCTAAATGAGGAGAATGAGAAACTAAAAACTGAAAACGATAAATTAAAGAGCTCTCTCGAGGAAGAAGCTTCCAACAAAGTGGACGCCCAATTGTATTCGGAGCTACAGGAGCAAAATACCGGTCTCAACAACGAATGTGAGAAATTGAGCGATACTTTAACCAAAACTAGACGGGAATATACCTCAACAATTGAAGAGTTGCAAGATGAAAAGTACGGCTTGGAGAATGAAAATTCAAAATTGTCCAAGCTAGTGCACGAGTTGAAACAAGAATTGAATGAAATTTCAGCATCTCGAAATGAGTCTGACCAGGAAAAGAAAGCTTTGGCCGACTCAATCAATGATTTGAAAGAGCGCCTCGAAACCAAAGAAGCTGAAGTGAATAACTTCAACACGAAAATAGATGAATTGAACAAACTTATATCTACAAAGAGCTCCAAGTTTGAAGAGGAAAAGTTGTCCTTGCTAACGAACATTACTACATTGGACAAACAATTGGAAGCAAAGGACAACAACATCAAAACACTACAAGCCGAGGCGGAAAGCATGAAGCAAAAACTTATAGAATCTGAGCTGAAAGCTGCAGAGATTTTAGAATTGAAAAAAGAAGTCAACAACAAACAACTCCTTATAGGCAAGCTACGTCACGAAGCAGTAATATTGAACGAACACTTGACCAAGGCATTAACAATGATGAAACAGAAAGGCGAAGGATCAAATAAAACGGTGGATGCGGAGTTGCTATCAAATGTGATTATCAGCTTTTTGCAATTCCCTAGAGGAGATTCAAAGAAATTCGAGGCATTAAATCTAATCAGTGCATTGTTAGAATGGGACGATCTGCAAAAGATTGCAGCTGGTTTGCAACATGTACCAAATGCAAAAGGGGGTAAAAATAAAATAGATTCAAATGGGAATGAACTTTCAGCAAGGCAAAGCTTCGTATCTTTGTGGACTGAGTTTTTGGAAAAGGAATCTAGTGGTAAGTAGTAGAATATTGTGCATACATAGTTAAAAAAAAAAAAAAAATAACAGAAAAAGGATAATAGAAATTAGTGTACGCGAAGTGAAGCGGTGCCAGATAATTCCGTAATAGTTGAAAATTATTTCTTCTCTTTATACGCGTTGCTCCTTAATCGAGAAGCTAATTGATCCCACCCCCCCTTTCCTACATAATGGTCAATATTCACGACTTCTTCAAGAACCAACAGGGGAAGGCTGGAACTGTATGGTGAAACTTTTATGAATCTAAGTCAATTGGTTACTAACGTAATGTATGTTTAGAAACGTAAAGCAGAGGAGACGAAGTCACCAAATGCGAAAAAGTCCAAGGCAACGGCATCAACAACAAAGAAAAATCCAGAGGTGATTGAAATAGACGACGACTTTGAATTTGATGATGACGATGATGATGATGTCATTGAGATTGAAGCTCCGAAAAAGGCAAGCCCCAAAAAGAAGCAACCTCAAGCATCACCCAAGAAACCCCACCCACCTCCGCCAAAGCATTCAACGACTCAACCAGGAACTAATTCGAGCAAGAAACCCACTGGAGGTGAATCCATCGACGACGTGCTTGCGAAGATTCCCAATGCGGACTTACCGGAGGTGAATGATGGCGACAAACCAAATTTCTTTGCTCTTAAAGCTCAGCAAAACGTGACTTCCACAACACTGGTGGACTTACCTGCTGCCCAAACCAATTGTCTAACAGGATTGACAATTGTGTTTACAGGTCAAATGCCCTCCTTGGATCGAAATACTGCTGAGCTGACTGCTCAGCAATACGGTGCAAAAGTCACCAAGTCGATATCGAAAAAGACAAGCTTGGTTGTGATTGGAGCTGATGCTGGTCCTTCAAAAGTGAAAAAGATTAAAGAATTCAAAATCAAAGCGATAGATGAGGATGGGTTTATTCAATTATTGGCAAGTATGCCAGCCGATGGTGGTAGTGGTGAAGCAGCTTTAAAAGCCAAGGAAAAGAGGGAACAAGAAGAGAGAAAGATTGTAGAAGAAGCAGAAAAAGCCGAGAGGCAGGAAAGAGAAGAGGAAGAGAGAAGAGCCAAAAGGGCAGCTCAAGCTACATCAAGTCAAAAAGCCTCCAATGGACCTTTACAGCTGCCGCCAGCAACACAAGATGTTCCAGCCAAGGATAAGTTATGGACAGACAAACATGCACCAAAAGATTTCAACCAACTATGCGGAAATAAAGGACAAGTACAGAGATTGCGCAACTGGTTGGAGCATTGGTTTGAAAATAAGGCCAAGAATTTTCCCGGAGGTCCAGAAAACCCCGGATCTTTTAGAGCCGCGTTAATTAGCGGTCCTCCAGGGATAGGTAAAACCACGGCTGCTCATATGGTGGCAAACTCTTTGGGCTTTGATGTGTTGGAAAAAAACGCATCCGATGTTCGTTCCAAATCCTTGTTGAATGCAAATATCAAATCGGTGTTGAACAATACTTCAGTTATCGGGTTTTTCAAACATCGTGATGATGAGGAGCAAAATGCAAACAACAAGAAGCTATGCTTGATTATGGATGAGGTTGATGGTATGTCTAGCGGAGATCATGGTGGAGCCGGGGCCTTGTCGCAATTTTGTCGAATCACAAACATGCCGATGATTTTGATTTGTAATGATAAGTCATTGCCAAAAATGAGAACTTTTGATAGAGTGACGTACGACTTGCCATTCCGCAGGCCAACAGAAAATGAAGTCAAGAGTAGATTGATGACTATTGCTTTACGTGAAGGGATCAAGTTGGATCCTAGTATTATTGGTCAGTTGGTTCAGGCGACATCCAATGATATCCGGCAAATGATAAACTTGCTTTCCACTGTGTCAAAAACACAAAAACTCATTGGTGCAAACAACGTCAAGGAGATCCAGGCAAGTTGGAAAAAGCAAATTATATTGAAACCTTTTGATATTGCTGGTAGGTTATTGTCATCTGGACTTTGGTCAGGCCCTAATCAAAATTTGAATGAGAAACTTGATTTGTATTTCAATGATATTGATTTTGCTCCTTTGATGATACAGGAAAATTATCTAAACACAAAACCAAGACTTTCAGGGTCACATATCAAGCATGTGGCACAAGCTGCTGATGACATAAGTTTGTCTGATTCTATTAATTCCTTAATTAGATCCAGTGAGCAGCAATGGAGCTTGTTGCCCTTCCATGGGTTAATGTCCACGGTGAAACCGTCGTTTGAAGTAGCGGGCCAAGTCACAGGCAGGTTAAATTTCAGTGCTTGGTTGGGACAAAATTCAAAGCAGATGAAGTATCAGAGAATGCTACAAGAATTGCAATACCACACCCGAGTCAAGACTTCAACCACGAAACAAGAGTTGCGATTGGATTACTTGAACCCATTATGGGTCAAATTGAACATTCCGATCAAGCAACAAGGAGAGGCGGGTATAGACCAGACGATCGAGACTATGGACGCGTACTACTTGACGAAGGAGGACTATGATAATATCAGCGATATGCTCAACAAACCTATCGACTTGGACAAGAAAGACAAGGCTGCTTTCACTCGTAAATACAACAATGCTATTCATCCAACGGTTATTTACAAGACGGGAAATTCGTTTGGAGCTGGCGCTAAAAGAGCAGCCCCGGCAAAAGTTGATTATGAAGATGTGGTGGACGATGATATGGAGGATGTAGAAGACGACAACGAAGGGGAGGACAGCGATAAGATTGATACCAAGAAGGACAAATTGATTAAACAAGTTGCCGTTGGAAAAGGTGGGGTTGCTAAAAGATCGGCCAAGGGTCCTGCTAGAAAGAAGCAGAAAAAGTAGAGGAGTAAATACCCCGTACAGCTAAGATGACATTTTGCAACTGTAGTAAAGCATTTTACTGTGCTATTTTGTCTCTCTCTCTCTCTCTCTCTCTCTCTCTCTCTCTCCACACACATACACAGAGTACACGTCTCTAAAAAAGGGTTTTGGTCGCGCGCGCGTGTCAAGAATTCCATTCTTTGTTTGTAAATCTCAAACTTTCCTTTTCATTTGGTTTAGGGGTAACAAAAGAAAAAAAAAACAGAAAAAGAACGACAGATTTCGTTTCCCATCAGCATCCTAACCGAAAAGAATTGAACTCACACAGATATACTAGATATTGTGGCTTATTTAAACTGAGGCAATCCTCATTTTAAACAGCATACTTTCAATCAACTAATTCCCTAATTACACCTTGACCGGTTGCAAGAGAGATTTACATCAATTCTATTTCTAGATTTTACACTTGTGCGCAACCACAGCTTAACCAAGGCATCGTATCATGACAGATGTTCCCTTGTTTAAAGTACCCAACACCAGAAGACAAAATGATCGGAGGCTACCCACATTGGCTATTCCACCCCCACAAAACAATGCTAAACCAATGCTACAATTGAATGCAGGAGAGTCTCAAGACTATAATGGTGATGGGAAGTTTAGTCAATTGAATATTGGTGGTGATTCACATTCAAATTTACCACCACAGTTACCGCCACGGCCCAGGAGCCTGCAAACGGTGACGACAACATTCAACATGACCCCTTCCTCATCTAATTTGTCATCAACTCCAAATACCGCAGATTCGTCACTGTCGTCAGACTCTCAGAAATTGAGAAGAAAACCACCACCGCCAGTGTCTACCAGTACGACGCAACATGGCAACGACGATAAAAGGCGACTTCGCAAGACGCTGAATGATACTGCAGAACCACAATCAGGAGAACAACCCGAGTCCAACATTGATAAGTACTTGCAGAACAAACATTACCTTGAACAACTAACATCCCATGAGTGGCATCTTTTTGCCAACAACGATCTCATCGAAGAGGTGGGTAAATTGGGAGAGGGAAATGGGGGATCAGTTGCCAAATGCCGCATCCGCAAGCTACACAACTCACAAGTGTTTGCACTAAAGATGATAATTGCAGACTCCAACCCTGATGTCCAAAAACAGATATTTCGGGAGTTGGATGTTGCTAAAAAGTGTCAACACCCAAATATCGTAAACTACTATGGCACTTTTCTTTTGGAGAAACAATCAATGATTGGTATTGCTATGGAGTATATGGATGGTCATTCCCTAGATGCAATATACAAGGAAGTTGCCAAGCGCGATCAAACCAACCGTATCAGCGAGAAAGTCTTGGGTAAAGTTGCCAATTCAGTATTATCCGGATTGGACTATTTACACCTGAAAAACATTATACACAGAGATATAAAGCCCTCAAATGTTTTACTAGATTCCAAGGGAAATGTCAAACTATGTGATTTTGGAGTTAGTGGCGAGGCAGTCAATTCATTTGCATCCACTTTTGTAGGTACACAATACTATATGGCCCCAGAGCGTATCATGGGTAAAAGTTACTCAATATCGAGCGACATTTGGTCGCTAGGCATGTCGATGTTGGAAGTTGCAAATGGGAAATTTCCAATCGATGTTTCCTTAGGACCAATCGAGGTAGTTGAAATGGTCCTGAGGAGTGAGTTGTCGTTGAAAGATAGTGTGACTGATAGTATTTTCTGGACACCCGAATTCAAGCGGTTTGTTGCCAGGTGCTTGATTAAGGATCCACTGAAGAGACCGATACCGAGACAACTTTTGGCCCAAGATGAATGGTGCTTGGCACAACTGAGAGAAAAAGTGAAAATGGATAAGTTTGTTAAAGTTGTTTGGAAATTAAATGAATAGAGAGATATATTAATAGAGATTGTAATTATTACGCTAGAGAATGAGTCTGGTAGAAGCGGATGGTGTGTGTGTGTGTGTGTTTTACATTTTGCATCTAAAAATGGTCGTGCAGGAGGTACAAGTTCAACTAGTGATTTTTCTTTTTTTCTTTTTTTTTTTTTTCTGTGCAAACCAATCAGAATCTCACTGAAGATAATTTCTTCGCAAAATTGACAGAGGTCCAAGTCAAGGTATTAAAGTTTTACAGTAATCAACAGGGAACCACCCCCTCCCCGCCCCATCACATCATATCATAGCCACCACACAGTGAGTTATTCACACATACATATTTAATTACACCATTACAATCCCCCCAAAACCTACACCACACAATACATAATGCCTGTACCATTCGAGGGTTTGATACCATATGCTATCATGACAGCATTCTTTGGCTTGGCCGGTCACGGTGTTCAATATATCAGATACTGGGACAACGGATGGAAGAACGATCGTTATTTTTTGGATCAATGGGACCACAAGATGATGCAGAGAGATTTCTACCTAACAGGAACTCATCGAGGTCAAACGAGTGAGGCTATAGCTCCAGAGAGTTTCAAGACGATTGAACTGATTGAACAAAGATACTACACACCATACAGAAACCAATTCTTTAGTTTGAGAGACAGGTTGTTCAGAGGATACGTGTTTGGAGACTGGAACTTTTCATAGACCTTTAGGTGGAGTGAAAGCAAAGTACGATTTGTGTAGACTTAGGAAATGAACATGTATTTGAATGAATGAGGAAATAAGCTATTTAAAATCTTTATAAGTCCATTTTTCAGTGACTTTTTTGGCGTATTTTCTCTTTTTATGAACAGGAACCCGACTCTCAATCTTTCCTGTTGATTGCAAATTCAACATTTGGTCATAAAATAAATTTCCTTCAGGTTTCAAGTTTTTCAAATTGCTTGTTAATTCGTCAGATAATTTCAACTCCAATGGTGTTTCAATAGGGGTATGTTTGTGCAACTTGTTCCTCTTTAGACTTCTTGGTTTCTCAGAAGGTTTGGCTCTTGATGTGGCCTCGGCTTCTTCCTCTTGTTGCTTCTGTAGAATTTCGTCCAAATTAGAAAGATCTTTCAACTGCTTTTTCAAGTCCTTGATTTCTTGCTCCAACTTGACTCTTTCCTTGTGTTTGGCTTGTTTGTTCCTCTTTGTCTTTGTTTTGATCTTGATTTTGGTTGGCTTATTTATAGACAAGGAATAGTCCTTTTCATCCCCATCTTTGGTATCAAGGTCATTGGCCTCTTCTTCATTTTCATCATCGCTATCGTCAGACAACATGTTATCATTCAAAGTAACCATGAGCTCTTGAATCTTTTGCCTGTAATCTTCCATGGACTGCCTAGTCAACTCTCGCTTGTATTCAATACCATATTCTTGGTCAACCAATTCTTTCCATGACTCCAACGAAGGGTTGTACGACTTTCCTGCATGCACCAGTTTCTCTGTCAAGTCATTCTTTGTGATCTGTATAGGTTTCAAACGCAAGGTGGATGGCACTACCGTTGCCTTGGTGACTTCAGCTGTTGATGTGCCATATTCGGGAATTTTTGGTTTCTGTTTACTCGAACTATCGTCATCCCAGATATCTTCACTGTCACCATTCACCAATCCATCTTGCTCTATTCTTGCCATGGTTATGCTTTCGTTTTTGTATTTTCCACCACGCAACCTTAACAACCTCAACATTTCTGTCTTCTTCACTCCTTGGACTGTGTCCGACTTCTTTGCACGATTATTGACCAATGCAGGAACTTTGGATTTATTGGTTAATATTTCACGAGTCTTGAGCTTTTTGGGCGCTTTGGTCTCCTTCAAACGCACATTGGGTGTTTCATCGATTACAAAATCATCTTGTGGTGACGGTCCCTTAATGATCTCCTCGTCTCTTGCCTCTTGAAGTTTTGATTCTAAGTCTCCTATGTCCACGTTCTTTCTCCATGCTTTCTTTCCCTTTCTAGAAGGCTGTTTCCGTGTTTTGACTGGCTCACTCATTAGTAAATTCAGAAACGGTCTCTGTATCCAACGTGATTAAGAATAATTTGGTACCAAAAAAAAAAAAAAATAAAAAAATAGTAAGAGATGAGTTTTGCTTTTGTCTGGTGACACAAAAAATACACATGAATATATACAACATCTCATTTTACCACCAAAAAGAGCCCCTTTACTTTGTAGACGAGTCTAGCTTGAGTAGATTTTCTTCACTCAATTTCGAAGGTGCCAATGGTTGTGGTGTTGACATTGTCCTCTTGCGCCTCTTCAATTGCTGTTTCTTTTCTAATTTGGCCCCGTTTATAAAAGCCAATAAGTTATTTCTTCTTCTTACGCCTTCATTGATCCAAAATTCACTTCGATAAATCTCCCAACCTTCTCTAATGTCAACATTGAACACTCTTGCATTCAACAACAACTTAACGTCGGTAACGCCTATACGTGGTTGACATTGCGATTGACAAATGACGAGAAACACTTCAATCTTTGAATCTTTATTCTGTACGGAATTAGGTGAGATCTTGTGGAGCACTTCCAAAGCAAAATTCACTACGAGAAGTGACAACTCACGTATCAAATCAGTTACTTTATCTGAAAGGGGCGTTTTGATCTTCACCAATCTAACATTCAACTGCCGCAAACCCTTGTTTGTTGATGACAAAAATTTCCGTGGGAGAACAATTGTCTTTTGATATTCTCCTGACAAATGGTACAACAACAATGTAATCACTGTCGATATTAGCAAAAACTTTAGTACTAACCTTGTTGTACCCGTTGAAGAGACAGCAGCATCCAAAATGAACAAATGATGGGCCAATCCAGCAATAATCGAGCACAATATCGCCAAAAAAGTCAAGTACTTCCTTCTCATCGCTCTTTGTTGTATGACCTGCTCTCTCAAACTTTCCTCCAAAATCAACATGTTTCTGAAAATTTTACCAGATGGTGGCATTGAAGTGTACCCAGTTCCGGACTTCTCCAATGATCTATGTGACCTCTCGCTAGGTTCCTTGGATTTCCTTCGTATTTTTCCCCGCAGTTTGCTTGGTCGCTTACTTGGAGTGTCATCGGGACTCGCCGAAAGGGTCCTTCGTAATGGAGATGACGTTCGCGATGATAACGACCCCCGCTTGCTCCTAGGTGTATCTTCAACAGCAAAAGAAGGCTTCAAGTTTGCAATCGGATTGAGATCTCCGCCTGAAGCGCCCTCATTTTGGGAATCACTTTTGTTAATATCAAGAACATTTATCTCCTCCTCATCCACTTCTTCATCCTCGTCCGAACTATGACTTCGAGCCAATTTCTTCAATTGACTTCGGATATCACGTCCTGCTCTGGACTCTTCATTTTGTAAGTCTAACGAACTTTGAGACGCAATATCGTCAGAGTCAGAATATACCACGAAATCATTGTATTCGCTGGAAGGTGTGTTGTGTAAATGTGAGAGTGTCAAGCGTGGGGACTTTGGATGTTCGGGAAAAGACGTGGCACTTGTATTCGATGAGCCTGGATCCTCATCGCCGTTACCCAAAGAGCTTGAACTTGACTGATTATGCACAACTTCTGAGCTACTGTGTTCCTCAGACGGACTGGTTGTAGTTGAATAGTTGTCCTTCGTTTTATTTTCGTGTTGTACCATATCAGTGGGTGGTGTTGTTCTATACCACAAATGTACTTCAAATGAATGTAATAATGCCTTTGAAAGACCCTCGATATCTCGTCTGATGTCTATTCCTGAACTATTAGCGGTAGATATGTTCAATGTACTCTCTGATATCCTTAATGCCAAAACTTTTTCTCCTTTATGGTTTTCCTTCTTTTTGGTGTTTTTTTTTTGTTTTTTTGTTCTTTTTTGTTTTTTTTTGACCGACTTGGTAACAAACTTCAAAGAATAACAAACTAAACTTCCCCTCAGTGGTGTGGCACTTTGCTGACGCTAAAAGATATATCAATTGCATATCAGTTAGACTTGGGAGGCTACTCCAGAAATGTCGTCATTGAAACAAATGAAGGAGAGTTTTGTGTCTGATTTGACCGGGGGATCCATTGAAGAGATTTACCTCGTAACATCAGTGGCATTGACTTCATATCTATCCTACAAATTCATCAAGGATTCAATTGTCCAATTGCCCTTGGCTTATGACTATGCGATTAATGTGCTAACTATTCTTGCATCAATTACTATCTACAGCAGTAATACAGTCTTTCTACAATATTCAATATTCATCCCGTCCTTGCTTGTGTACTTGCTTAACCACTACACAACGGAGAAGAAGAAAGTGCATCACCGACAACAGGACAAAGAAAACGATCCACTTTTGACCCGAAAGCAATTTCTTACCGCTTATAGGTCACATATGTTAATCATTACCAATTTAGCTATATTGGCTGTGGATTTCAAAATTTTCCCAAGACGATTTGCAAAAGTTGAAACATGGGGTACATCAATGATGGACTTAGGAGTTGGGTCCTTTGTATTTTCAATGGGGTTGGTGAATTCGAGACAGTTGATTAAAGCGAACACGTCTTACACTTTCAGCTTGAAGACGTATTTGAGATTAATACAACAAAGCACAATAAAAACGCTTCCTTTATTAGTATTGGGCCTTGCCAGGTTTATCAGCGTTAAGCTGCTTGACTATCAGGAACATGTTACTGAGTATGGTATTCACTGGAACTTTTTCATTACATTAGGTTTGTTACCAGTTTTGTTGGGAGTCTTGGACCCACTACTTAACATCTTACCACGAGTGGTGGTTGCATTTACCTTTCTCATGTTGAATGAAGTTATATTGCAAAGAACCAACGTGCTCGAGATTATTTTGTCCAGCGAGAACAGAATGGTTAACTTCATAACTATGAACAAGGAAGGGATCTACTCCTTTTTGGGGTACTTTACAATATTCATATTTGGCCAATCCTTTGGATCATTTGTTTTAACAGAATACCCAACGAAGAACAACTTGATCTCCATAAGTAGAACCAAAGCATCACGCAAAGGTTCCAATCTAATTACAGTGTCCACTACACAGGGGTTACTCATAGCCACGGTGTTTTATCAAGGCTTGTTCACCATCGTGAACAGCTCCAATAATATCACAAGCATTTCAAGAAGGATAGCTGATGCATCTTACGTTTTGTGGGTAGTGTCCTACAATGCGGCCTTCTTGTTGGGATACGATCTAATTGACAAAATTCTACCGGAACAATCTGGATTTGCCTCAGAGTTGTTGGAGGCAGTCAACAATAACGGGTTACTAGCATTTTTGTTGGGCAATCTTTTGACCGGATTGATTAATATGCTGATCAATACGTTGGAGGTATCAAACACAACTGCATTTTTGATCTTGGTTGGTTATAGTGTTGTATGGATTGCAACTGTAATCATTTTGAATCGCAAGCACATCTATATCAAATTATAGCGTCCAATCTGCCAGAACAATTGTCAGTGTGGATAAAAAAAAAAAAATAACATAGACTCATTAAGACCATGTATATACTCTCACACTACATACTTTCCACTAACTACCAAACTGCAACTTTACCAACAGAACTTTCTCTTGTCCTTAAATCAGTAAGCCTCGTATAGATCTCCCAGCGACAGCGGAGTAAAAAAGGCCATAGAAAAAATCCGACAAAAAAAAAAAATAAAAAAAATAAAAAAAAGGAACGAAAAGTAAAGAATGAGGTAATCAAAGACTAGAAGCAAATACCGCTATTATTAGTACTTCCTTGATAGCAAACAACGGTCAAACACACACCAGTGGTTTTTTTTTTTTTTACTGTCTGAACCTCAGAGAACACATAACATACAATACCCCACTTTTGACCATGGCTTCCGACGCTAGACCAGACACACCAGGCTCAGTATCATCATCATCAACCGCAGCCTCAGCTTCAGCCTCAAGCTCTCATTCATGGACGTCGTTTCTCAAATCAATTGCATCTTTCAATGGTGACTTATCCTCATTAACTGCACCTCCATTTATCTTATCACCTACTTCGCTTGTGGAGTATTCGCAATATTGGGCCGAGCATCCCGATTTGTTTGTTGCACCAAATAAGTTGACCGTTCCGGAAGATTCAGAACCAGCAATAGTTGATGCAATGAATTTGAAAAGGGCTATCGCGGTCACTAGATGGTTTATTTCTACATTGAAGTCCCAATACTGTTCAAGAAATGAGAGTATGGGAAGTGAGAAGAAGCCATTGAATCCATTCTTGGGGGAAGTTTTTGTTGGGAAGTGGGAGAATGAAGAATTGGGCGAGACCACCTTGTTGAGTGAACAAGTTAGTCATCATCCTCCAGTAACCGCCTACGCCATCGAGAATGCCAAAAACAATGTCATGTTACAAGGATACAATGGTATCACGTCCAAGATTTCCGCAACGTCAATAAACATTAAACAATATGGACACGCTCTTTTGGATTTCAATGACTTGAAAGAAAGCTACTTGATCACTTTGCCGCCCTTGCATATTGAAGGATTGATCACAGCTGCCCCATTTGTCGAGTTGGAAGGAACTTCCTACATACAAGCTTCCAACGGCTACTTCACAGTCATAGAATACAGTGGAAGAGGTTGGGTATCTGGTAAAAAGAACACATTCAAGGCAAGAATATACCGTGACTCATTTTCCAGCTCTTCAAAGGAAAATGCTTTGGTTACGATCCAAGGACAATGGTCTGGAAAGTCCTACATTGACAAGGGATCTTCAACACCAACATCAAAGACTGGTGAGTTGTTTTATGATGCAGATGCATTGAAGGCGGTCCACTTGACAGTCAAACCAATTGAGGAACAAAAGGAGTTTGAGTCGAGAAGAGCTTGGGAGAAAGTAGCTGACGCAATTCGGAAGCTGGATTACAATTTGATTGCTGAGGAAAAATCCAAGATTGAAAATGAGCAAAGAGAATTGAGAAGGAAGGAGAAGGAGACAGGCACTACATGGCAAACAAGATGGTTTGATTTAGTTGATTACAAAAACCAATCAGAAGATACAAACTTGTCTCCGCCAGACGATTTCATCAACTTGACCAACCAAGCCAATTTGTCAATCTACAATGCTCCTCTGGGTTCATTGAAGAAATCAAAATACGACCACGGTGATTCAAAACACTGGAGATTTGTTCCCGAAAAATTCAAAAGGGACGACATAAAGATCTAGAATGGTTGTAAACGTTGTTTCGTTTAGTTAATTTGTGAATGGATGTAGACTTGATTTTGAAAAGAGCTTTGTGGGTATTGTTGTAGTAAAGTCCGATCGACTTACGTAATCTCGGCTTTATAACCTTTTTTTGTGCGAGACGGAAAAGGCGAAAATCAGTCCATCCTGCAACATCGAATGATTAACGACAGGCGAATACAGGAGCGTCCCCCCCCCTTTAGTATGCCCATTCAATTGATTATATATAAAGGATAGCTGTCGACCACGAACTTTTCCAACTTTCTATTCACACCACGTTCTTAAAGATCCCATCTAGTTCCCGACCTCACCCCCCATCCACTTTCACATCAAAGTGTTTTACTTCAAGCGATACGCACTAGTCGCTCTTGCCATAGTACTGTTATACATTCAGTTTTCCCCAGTATTGCGATCAGTAGTAGCTAAATTTTTCCCCACCATGAGTTCTTCTTCTAGGAGCACCATTGTTGTTGGCTCAGGACTCGCGGGTTTGACTACTACCTTGCAACTCATTTCGCAAAATCACAGAGTCACATTACTTGAAAAAACGGGGAAATTGGGTGGTAATTCGATCAAGGCATCCTCAGGAATCAATGGGGTACCTACTCAATACCAAAAGAACGACGACACAGTAGAAGTGTTTAAACAAGATACTCTCAGCTCAGGTAAAGGATTATGCAATCCCATATTGGTCGACGAATTAACTTCACGTTCAAGCGATGCAATTGAATGGTTGACTCAGGATTTGCAAATTGATCTTTCACTGGTTACTCAATTAGGTGGGCATTCATTTGCCAGGACGCACAAAGGATCAGGGGCGTTGCCACCGGGGTTTGCTATAGTTCTGACGTTGATTAAGCGCATTGAACAAATTCAAGCAGACAAGCCAGAGGCGTTGGCGGTATTGAAAAATAGCAAATTGGTGAAGATATTGGTAAACAATAATCAAGTTGAAGGTGTGCAGTATCAAGGCGACAACACCAATGAGGTGAAAACTGAATATGCAGATAATGTGGTGTTGGCCACTGGTGGATTTTCTGCAGATGCAAAGGATTTACAAACGTCATTGCTTAAGCAATATCGACCTGACTTGCTCAAGTTCCCATCGTCTAATGGCGAACAAACAACTGGCGATGGCCAAAAAGTTGCCTTGCGGGATGTCGATGCGCATTTAATTCAAATGGATCAGATTCAAGTTCACCCTACTGGATTTATCAAGTTGGACAATGTGAATTCACATTGGAAGTTTCTTTGCGGAGAGCTCATGCGTGGCATTGGTGGTATTTTGTTAACTCCAAGTGGAAAGAGATTTGTCAATGAATTGGCCACGAGAGATGTTGTTACTAATGCTGTTTTAAAGAATTGCCAAGTGAAGCAAGAAAACGAAGTGGGATTACCTGTTGGATCGTACGTTTCTGTACTTGTTATTAGTGGCGAAGATTATCCCAAAGCGGCAAGCCATATAGATTTCTACGCTTCGCAAAAATTGTTGCAAAAAGGAGATGTTGACGATTTGTTGAAGTTGTTGCAAAGAATAAATCCTTCCAACGACAAATTAACAACTACAGAGTTGGAAAACACCTTCCAGGAGTATAATCATGCTGTCAAATCCAAGAACGATCCCTTGGGTAGAACCGTGTTTGGCAACGCAATATCTCTGGAATTTTACTTTGGATTAACAACACCAGTTTTACATTTTGCCATGGGTGGTATTGAGATCGACTCAAATGCTCATGTTGTCAATTCACAAGGTCAAGCAGTTCCAAACTTGTATGCCGTAGGTGAGGTTAGTGCTGGTGTCCACGGTGCAAACAGACTTGGCGGAAGCTCTTTATTGGAATGCGTGGTGTTTGGAAAGATAGTCAGTCTGCAGATCTTGAACAAGTAGGGAATGCCCCTCTACACACAACGAGAGTGAGTACAAAACAAAGCAATACGCAAAGTAAAGCCTGCATAATCAACGATTGCTAATAGTATACATAAAAAAATGCTTGTTTTCTTTTATATTAACAAGTTATTAACTATAAAGTTACACACTTATTCCCTCTCCCCCTCTCCAATTTCTTATATCCCAAATAAAACTAAAGTGTACTTTTTGTATTATATTCGACACCCAGTCCATTCGGTTATAATATGTGAAAAATTTACGGGTTTTGCTTTTGATTTTGAGACCCATTTCATTGTGATTGAGTTATTGTATATGTTCATAATGCTTCGTATTCTACCTCAGACAATCTGGCGTTTATCTAATTTTTAATCTGCTTAAATAATAGCTTAGATGTTTGATGGGTACAACATGATTCTAACTGAAGCACCGAAAGTCTTTGGTGGCAAGTTCTTTTTGAAGTTAGCTCTGACTAAACCGTTGTTACCATGGGTTCTGGCAATCTTTCCCCAGATAACTCTGATCTTAGAACCTCTGATTTCCTTTTGAGCTCTGTAGACGTAGGCAATTCTTTTACCCAAGTAGAATTTGGCATCTTGAGGAGAACCAACACCTTCAATTTGAATCAATGAAACCTTTGGGTTGGTAACGTTCTTGGATCTTTGGTAGGAGATGTGTTTTCCTTTAACGTATACTAGAAAAAAAGAATGTTAGTATTTGGTGCTTTGAAGTACTGTACGAAGCAGGTACTCGTAGGTAGTGATTCGCGATACACGTGTTTGGACTGCGGAAAACTTGACTTGAAACGAATGGTACATTTGCAGGTTTCCTTTCATACTCTTTTAAAAGGTACGTCTTTCTTGCGACCTGTAGCCATTGTAGGTGCTTGCAAATGTTCACAACTCTTCCATTGAATTAATTCAGTTGGACGAAACAACAAGTTATCACAATTATCCAAAATGATCATCATCACTCCCCGCGTAGCTCGTGCCATCGCATAAGTCTATCTCGACTTCGTTTTGAAAAACATACATCTGTGTGATTCAGCCATTGTTGATGTAACTATAGGTTGAGGTTTTGATGAACTCTGGATGACTGAAAATTTGAAGACACAAGTTTTTTTTTTCTCTTTCTCTTACTCACACACACACACACACACTATCGTGTAAAGTGTATTATGTAATGAGTGCGCACTACGTTATGTAATTACAAGTCACATACTTTACTGATGTGAGAGTATATTTATTTCTTTCTGCTGTAGAAAACGCGACTGCACACAAGAAAGAGGAATATGCGATAGCCCTATTGTGACACACGTGACAAACCCTTGACAAGACTGAAAACTACAGAAACATGAAGCAAGAGAGTTTAAGATGACCCATTGAGGTCTGGGCAATCCATGAGAAGCATTTACACTGCAAGTTTGGTGTAGTGAGAAAATATTCGACACATCAGTTCAATTGAACTGTAGATCTTATGGGATTTAGCTGTCCCATTATCTGAATCCTTGATTGCAAGAGTGTTTCCATGATTGCAATCGACCTGTTTACTAAACAGGCTGTACTAAGTAACTCCAACCACGTATCGCTTTTGTTGGACTCTTGGGGAGACTGTGAAACAGAAGCTGAATGAGTTTTGGCTCTCAGCGTTTTGGCAGATCAATTGCGAAGCAGGTTATTGTGAGGCGACTATTCACAACAAAAAGACTTGGGCAAGGCAACGTGCAGACAGCCTATTCAGTCTACTCTTTACCGCTGCACAACATTGCACGACCCTTTTTTTTTTGACAAGAAGCCCTCAAGTCTCTTTGAATTGCTTCGCTATCAAAGTTATCTATATATATATATATCAATTCCTCGCAAAATCTTTTCTTGATTGACTTTATGCATTGCATGGCATACACAAAAAAAGAAATGTCAGACGAGAGGAGTAATCATAATTTATTTTTGGAATAGTAAGTCATCGCGAAATCCATGTCATTCGAAAGTTTGCTTTACTCCACACACACACCACGAACACCAGTGAATCCACGTCATTAGAATTCACAAAACTTTTCAATTGAAGAAAAATACGTATATCAGTACGGCACTGACTGAATTACATCATCTCATTGAACCTCATATCCGAAATCAAGGGGAATCGAAATCTCATCGGGCACTGTGTCTGTGACATAATAACACCGGAAACAGACTCGGAGAAGCTCAATTGAACTACATCACACATTCTAGCACCTCACAAATTTTACAGTTACAAACATGCTGACTCAACCGAGTACCCAACAAACGTTTCCAACACCTGCCCACGAAGTCATTGGGGGCCAAAATCATTCCCCATCATCGCAATTGCAAAATCAACCTGAAATGCGTTCTTCACCACACCATCATCACCATCATCATCACGCACATCCAAGTCAGAATCAACATCATCACCATCACCACCACCACCATCATCATCATCATCCCGATCTCCAACATAAAGCAATTGAGAATTCCAGTCACCACCACCACCACCACCACCATCATCATGTGATTGAAGAACCAAATGAAAAGCAGCAACAGCAACAGCAGCAGCAGCAGCAGCAGGAACCACCACAACAACAAAAAGTAAATTCGAATGATGAGGCTTCTTCTACAAAGGGTGACCTCAGTCTTAAAACTATTCTAACGGCACCATCCAAGCGAAAAAAGCCACATTTGGACATTGAACCGATTGAGTCATTAATTGCCGAATTTTTCCCTGAGCGACGTTTTATTGGTTCGATTGTTTATAATCCTACAACCACATGGGAAACACTTCAAACACGCTCACTTTATGGACTAAAACCGTCTCTTATTATTCGTTTTGATGAGATCAAGAGGGCCTATAAGCAACAAGTTAAAATTAGCAATTTACCTCCACGATACATTCCGGTTATACCTCCATTACCACAAGAATACATCAATACTGTACTTGAAATAAAAATTCCTTTTCGACATATTGTCAAGTTTAAACAAGATTATGGGAATGAGATTGTTAGCAGGGAACTTTGGGGTGGAGCGAGTGGAGTCTATACGGATGATTCTGATATATTGCAGGTATTGTTGCATATGGGACTTTTCAATGGGTCGATTGATTTGAGTGTTTGGAACAAAAAGTGGACAAAGGGAGATATCTTAAAGCCTATAAATGCATCAAATCAAGTTGTGAAGAATGGAGGAAAAGGAGTAGAGGAGGGTAAAATTGAACCAGCTAATAATGGAAATGGAAATGAAAAAGAGTTGGAACAAGTCAATACGGATGTCAAAATTAACAAAGCTACTGCTTCTTCTCCACAATCGATTGGCCAAGATGTGTTTGGAGATTTATCAGTTCAAGTCTTGCTTCTCCCTTCACTACCATCATACCATGGATTTTTCGCCAATGGAATAAATTCGCGATCATGGAACTTGACTCAGTCTACTAATTATCGACATTCAGGATTGAGTTATGTTGTGTATAATGTTGAATGGGAACAAAGAGGGTCATATTTACAAGACAAGACTCTCTTGCGGGCAGCTGAGTTGGAAGTTGAATTAGATTATGAACTGAATAGTGATTTAGTGAGGGAGAAAGGAGGGTGGAAGTTTGATTATGACACGTATAATAGAATCAAAAGTGGGTGGTAGTACTGAAAAGGTGAAGTGAGATAATCACACACACACACACACACACACACACCCGGGAATAAAAGTAAGTTAACGGGATATCTTTTGCAGTGAAAATAAATGTTTCAGTTCGTGTTGTTTAATAATGAGAAATTAATGTAAGGCTATGAGAGATATTGTACATCAATAAAGTAGGAAATTCTGTCAAAAAAAAAAGGGTGAAGTTTTGTGTGTCTTTTGCAGCAGAGCGAATGCACGTGACCACTTTTCGTATATTTATGTAACAGGTAAATGGTATTGTGATGTTAAACTATAAAGATTGCGGAGAACCATTTCTTCTTACGATTACTAACCCACTTGTTTTTATTGCTTTATTCAGTTAACAAAGCAGTCGTTATTGTCATTTACATCAAAGTATCATTGTAGTTTTGGTCTAGCTTACTGAGTTACAACTACTGTATATATAACAAATGTAAACTGCATAAGGCGGGATCCTCATGGTTTGAATTTCTTTTTTTTTTTTGTCTTTTTTCTTTTTTCTTTTTTTTATTTGTCCTTGTCTCTTCCCTTCCCGAAAACATTCCTCAACCGCCCTTTTTTTCGGATTACATTACTCTACTGCACAGACGGTAAATTAATTAATTAATTACAAATCACCTTTATATACATACTTTTGCATAGCATATCTCATCTCCACCTTTTAGAACAACAAAAACTATTATATAGTAATCAGCAATAAACTCTCTTCTTTGACTCAGCAATTTTCCCATATTTTCTGAAGTCATTTTAATTTTCCCAGCTTTTTTGCTATTTCTGCTTAATAAAAAAAAGAACTTCTTCTTTTTGGTAACAAAAAAACAAAAAAAAAAAAGAACAGAGCTTACGGGATTTAGACTTTTGCCAATATTACTAGACACTGCCATTGCTATCACCATCACCACCACCACCACTTCCTCCACCACCACCTCTTCCTTCCTACAAAGTCATGAGTAGTGAGTGCCAAAGCATAACTGATACCCCTAGATCTAAACTATCTACATTCGCCAAACTCAGAAAATCGCAGTCTACCCCTAAATTACGTGCAAGACAAGGTGGAGAAGGGAGAAGTTTAAAGCCCAGCAGTCATTATTATCAGCCCACAGTTACTTCCTACACCACAATCAACACCCCTGCATCAAACACTCCATCGCCCACAACATCCACAATAAACACAACGCCGGCATCTATCTTACCATCAACTAGAGCCACTACACCCGTGTCCAGAACCAAAGTTGTCAACTCAAAATCCGCAAGAGACTCCACTACTACTGCAACTACCAAAACAAAGTCAAAAGCCACTCCTTCAACTTCATCAGCCACGACATCTTCACCGGGTTTTTTTAAGAGAATATCGCACGAGTGGCACTCTTTTATCCATCGGTTGAAATCAATATCTGAGGATGCATTTATAGTAGATAATTTAATTGATGGTTTATTTGTTGATGATGAGTCCGACGAGCATATGTCATTTGATAAATTGGTTCGAGCATCAAAAGGGTACAATACAACAGAAGAAAATTTTTTACGAGACTACAAGAAATACAAGAGTTTAGATAAGATGTATGAACATTATAATGGTGGTGGTGGCGACACTGCTCATGTTAACAACAGTAGCCAGTCTCAGACCAATGATGATGATAATAATAATAATAATAGCCACCACTCATTTGTCACGCATAATAGTCAAGTGTTGAATAATCAGGATGTGGGATCTTCTACGACTGTTGTTTCTGATCAAGCTAGTTTCAATATTCGCACAACTTTACAAGATGTTATACGACATCACCAGGCACGGTTTCAAAATATAGATGAAGTTTCGTTAGAAGAAGAAGAAGAAGAAGCAGAGGAAGAGGAAGAGGAAGAGGAAGAGGAAGAGGAAGAGGAAGAGGCTTTGGATAGCATTACAGCAACTGGATCTTCCACAAATACTCATGATATACCACAATACAATGATATCGACTTTACAATACTACGCAGGGAATTTGAGAGTATGCTAGCATCAACATCAAAAGGACTTAACGATTCAGCTAAAGTGAACAGTCAACCTACTTCACAACTACCATCACTACCACTGCTACCATTACTACCACCACTACCACATCAACAACAGCAACAGGTCACAGGGGATATCAACGTGGGCACAGTACTATGGAACTATCGTCGTCGCAAATGGCTATATTGTCCAGACATTACAAAACCTGCTTCACGACTTGAACAAACTTCGATTGCCCATATTCCCAGGGAATCATACTACAAGGTTTATTCTTCACTAGTCAATGAAAACAGAGCATTGAAAAGGGATAAACATATCAACTTGAGTGATTTGATCAAGATTGTTCATGTGGGATGGGTTGAAGAGAAAAAGTGGGAGCCATAGAATCAGGATAGGGAGGGACTACCTACAAGGATACAAGTTTGGTATTTCTACTTTGGCTCTTTTCTAATTTAAAAACAGCGATCGTTGTAAGTATTTGGGTAATAATTCATTTTTTATTCGGTTTGTGACAAGAACAATAGGTTTATCATAATTTTCTTCTGCCTTTCTTCTTCAATTTCGTTCATTGATTAATTTCAATGTATGTTCCAATATTCTCAAATCCTGATCAATCAACTCGCATCTTCTTTGTAAACTTAGTTTGGCAACGTTATTCCTCTTATTTATTTCACCAGACGGTAGCCTAGATTTGCGATTTCTTGTTGCAAGTTCGGCAACATTACTCAGTTGACCGTGCAAAGGTGTATTATTTTCATCTAGATTTTTGTCATCAACACCTACAACCCCCCAATCATCGTGATTAACATGGACAACTTGATTCATTGCCTCTAGTTTCTGCACACATCCCTGACTCAATTTCTCAACTTTCCGTTTGGCCTTCATCATGTGGTAGTAATTGTAACTTATTTCATCATTCAATTGATGGTCGATATTTTTGTTCAATTCATGTATCGTGGTGATCTTATCTAGTAAATTGCTCTTGGTGGTTAATGGGTCAGCATTGGAGTTGGACGATATGAGACGAGATGTAATTGAATGGAGTTGTTTGATGTATGTGGCTGATTGTTTTAGGTCTTGTTGTTGCGTTTGTTTGGCTTGATGGAGGATATTTGTGTGTGGTGGTGGTGGTGGTTGCTGTGGTTGCTGTGGTTGCTGTGGTTGCTTCTGTGGTGGTGCAGGTGTCACGTGTCTTGAATTCGATGGTGACATTGAGGGATACGGTTGGTGGTTATGACCACAGGAGTTCGGATGTGATCTCCGTGCTTTCCTTTTTCAATTTTGATCTCGGTTAATTTTTGCGCGGAGAGGGAAGCTAAATGGGAGTTGATAAAACGGAGGGAATAGTACGGCAAACAAAATGAAAATGGCACGTATTCATAGGAGAAAAAGTGGAGTGCAGTATAAGGTGAGGGGAGGAGAGGGGAGAAGAGGGGGATAGAAAGAGTATGTTTTGGAGGAATCGCAGTGCATTGTAAGACTAAAGTTGAGCACTGAGTTGAATGGTAACATAGCCTAAATAATTCCTCCCAATTTGCAACCAAATTAACCCTAAAAATATTGAGCACCCTAAATTCTTGAGGGAATCCAAATGCAAAAAAAAAATATTACTTATAGCTTCTTGTAGAGTAGGGGAGGTGTAAGAATATACAATAATAAGTGACTAATCCATTGAACTTGTTTGTGCTTGCTTAAAGCATAAATGCCAGTTGTCCCTAATCAACAACTGCACATTATAGGCTTTGCAATAACGGCAGCAAATAGAGTATAAATTCATCTGTTATGCCCTCGAAAACCCAATATTCTATCTTGAACTTGCTTGTTACAAGGAAGTACTCTTAAGCATATCTGATGTTTACTCAATTGTAGTGACTATGAATTTAGGGCTTAGACCTAATTTACATGCTGCGTATTAGGTAAGCGGGACAAATATGTCTATATGCAGTGCTAGTACATTCTTTATAATTTTTGTGTAGTTTTTTTTTTTTTTCCCATATACTAACTAGAGAGAGAACCCGAGACAATAGTTTACATATGTTAACTATTACAGTAAAGTAAAATACAGTGAGCGAGAGACAGCGATTGAGACCTCTGCCTGAAAAAAAAAAAAAAAATTTTAGAGATCTTAGTAGGAACAGCCTAGTACAACCCACAACCAATCTACATCAATCCACAATGGCTTTACAAGACGTCGTCACCAGGGAATACACCATTAACTTGCACAAGAGAGTATGTTTTTAATTACCCTTTCCCTCTTGCCCCTATTTTAGCGGTTCTGAAGGGAGATGATATATGGGAATAGAAAATGAAACGAAGTGACCTGCATTTCAAGTGTCCTTGCCGTTGGAGAATGAAAGACTGGACTTTATCATACTACTAAGAACTATTGGATACAATTACTGGACTCATTTGGAAACCCAGACTATTATGATTGGGACGTTTCATGATGGTATAAACTTACATGAAGTTCATAGAAGGGACAGATTGAGCCCTGCAATCGTTCTGAACTGAAGGTAGAACCAGCATTTCACCATCTCCTTCAAGACAGACTTAGGTCCACTATCCATGGCATTCACATTTTTCTCGTTCCAGTATTATCTCACCTCATATAATTGATGAATTTGTTTTTTTTTACTAACAGTTGTCATTTTCTAGTTGCACGGTGTTCATTTCAAAAAGAGAGCTCCAAAAGCTGTCAAGGAAATCAGAAAATTCGCCACTTTGCACATGGGAACTACTGATGTCAGATTAGACCCAAAATTGAATGTCGCTTTGTGGAAAAGAGGTGTCCAAGGTGTTGAACACAGAGTAAGATTGAGAATCTCAAGAAAGAGAAATGATGAAGAAAACTCCAAGGAAAAGTTGTTTGCTTATGTTGAACCAGTAATTGTTCCATCTACCAAAGGTTTACAAACTGTTGTTGTTGAAGACGAAGAATAAGTGTGCTATTGAGTCAAAGATAGATTTTTTTTAACTTGAAATTGAGGCAATGCATTTTGAACAGGTTGTGAAGAAAGGACAGGAATAGGGTTACTAGTTTTGTATAATAACATAAAATCAAACGCATATAATAGGAACCTCCTGAATGTGATTTGTAAGTTGTAAAGGTTTGAAGAGAAGTACAGACTTGGTCCAGACGAAGATTGTTCCTCAGTTCGTAAAGTTTGGAAGAGAACTTTGTCGATAATTCATACTACTGCTCTACAATATTCACTTCAAACAGCACTTAGCGTCTATTTCAGATACTGAACATATATCTAAATAAACCTATTGAAAGAAAAACGGTTAGTAAAATTGAACCATTATCAAGCAAGGTATCACACACCTTTCAATTTGATGCACATAGAAATATAGAACTCAAGCTCTAAGTAAATATATCAGTGTAACTATGACTATAATATACCATATCATTGCCAAAGCGGTCTCAAATCCCATCAAAACGATGGAAAACGATTTCTCGGAGACCAGATTAAAGCAGCTCTTAATTGGTATGAATTGAAATGAAAAAAAAAGTTATCATCATTTTAAAGCTTTGAGTCTGATTTCAATGAGGAAGGGTGGGAAGGGAGAAACACATTTGTTTTCAATTGAATGTAAATTAGAACATACTGTTTGTTGATTGATTCTGTTTGTACAAGATGAAAGAAGTGATTGAGGATGTGATTTGAAATAATTTTTCTCTTTTCTTCTTAACAGAGAGCGAGAGAGAGAGAGAGATGGATCTCCTCTTTTAATGAGAATTTGGTAGCGTAATTTACTTTTTGTTTGAAACCTCGGAGCTTTAGTCGTAAATGAACATCAACAACAAACTCTCAAATTGGTTCCAACAGATTTTGTAATTTAGTTCAAAGAGAATGTTTGTTTGTAAAGGTTGACCTCTCAAGCCTACTGCCTCTGTACTAGCTAATACTTTTCAAGTCTTGGTGGGTTTTTTTTTTTTGTTTCCCAATTTTCATTCGAAATATTCACACCCAAGCAAGTGGTAGCTCTTCCCCACAACAAAATTTACGCTTTATTAATATCCAGCGGAATCTATCAGAATCAAAGTCGTTCATTTATAAAAAAGCACACTACAACAGTCTTATACTGAGAAGAGCTTCAAACATGCCGTCAGTCTCAAACAACACCAATCATGAGGTAACTCCATTTGAATCTATATCAACTGTGGCGAATGTCGGGTTGATTAGTGATTCACTGAGGAACGAGTTTGACATTGTCGAGATATCCAAGGATATCTTTACAGAGATATTTCCCGCCACAACAGACGAGAATCTTGGTGCTTCTGCATATGTACCAGAAAATGCCTACATTCTTGTCAAGTTACTAGGAGCTCCAGACTACTTTGACAAGTTCCAAATACTCAAAGTGAGCAGAGTTCAGTCCCACCTCACTAAATCGATTATTCTCATCAATAACTCCAATATGGCACGTTTCAACAGTGACGAATTAACTTTCAATTTGGCAGCAGTGAAGTCGATTGACGTGGCCAGCATTCCGAATTTGTCACAGGTTTTCGTCTCAGTGCCAAACGAAGTCTACCATTTGTTGAAGGATAGATCACAACAAACGATTAAACAATTGTTCGTGCTTCAGATGCTTGTAGGGAATGGCAATGTGGTTAATGAAGGAGATACAATCCGTTTGATAAACGGAAGGGTTAATTTATGTGAGCCAGTGGCACAGGGAAAGGTTGATCTCGATACAAACTTTGTCTTGATAAATCAGAATGATGGCAATAATACCCTTGCACCAAGCGCAACATCTGAATCATTTGACGATGCTGATTTGGATTTGGACTTGTCCAGCTATTTGTCATCTGGATTACAATTTGATGCACACTCAAAAGCAAACAGTGCCACAAAATTCCGAGTCAAACCGTTATTTGAAAAGATGAACTTTGAACATCCACCAGAACATTGGCGTAAAGAAGACAAGGAACTTTATGCATTTATCAACAATTCTGATTTCGTTAAATTGGGATTCCCGGTTTTCAATGGTGATTTAGTCAAAATCAACACCGCAAACGAGTTTATTGTTGTGAGAATTTTCAGCTTCACTGAACCGCAATCTTCATTTCAAACTGGATGTTTGTATGTCTCGCCTATTTTATTGATCAACTTACAGCTTGGGCAAGATTCAGAAATCACAATTGAACCTGTACAGGGAGATTCGTTGAACTCGCTCATTCCAGTTGCTGAATCCGCAACGATTTCAAGAGTAAGTTCACAAATAACCATGGACAAGACGTATCAACAAAGCTTCTTCTCCAGTTTGAAGACAATTCTCAGTGACCAATTGAAATGCGTCAAGGAAGGGGATTATTTCCCAGTCGTTATCGACACTGTTTTGGCAAAAGTCATGTTTGATAATGCAAGCGAAGACAATAACGACGAGAATGGAGAACAAAATTTGGAAGTAATTCCAGTGGGGAACCCCGATGCAGTAGCTTGGTTCAAAGTCACTGATATCAAGGGTACAAATGAAATGGGAACCAACCAATTCCTCATTGACCCCACAAAGACTCTACTTGTGTCCTCAGGTGTTGACAGTTCGAGGTTGCCTGAAAACGCACACGCAAATTGGTACCAGTACCTCAACTTGCCGCCCATCTTCGACTATGCTCCTTCAACTGATTTCAAGTATGCACAAGAGTTTAGAAAAATCTTGCAAACATGCCTATCTTCAAAAATCAACTTGAGGACATCGATACTTTTGACATCAATGAGTAGAGGAATAGGGAAAACGACGTTAGTACGCAGTACATGCATCGATATGGGATTGAACTTGATTGAACTTGACTGTTTTGACTTCATCAACCCTGGCCAAGAATTGAAGACAATTGGATTGCTTAGTGGTAAAATTGATAAATTGATAGCCAATGTACCTAACCAATCTGCTTTCCATGTCATCTATTTAAAACATATTGAGAATTTGGTTCCTAAAACAGATGAAAATGATCAAAACTCGAGCATCTTTGCATCACTTTCGTTGAAGATAATTGAAACCTTGGTTGAGTACTTGGAAAAGTATTCCAACCTCGTTATTGTTTTGAGCTGTAATGATTATGACAAGTTGAATGATAACATAAAATCCATCTTGAAATTCACAATTGAATTTACTGTCCCCACTGAAAATGAACGTCTCGATATATTCAAATATTTGATTGCAAATGAACGATCCAAGGTGCCCTCTTCCACAGACCTCACTTCGTTCCCGTTCGTAACTAGAAAAGACATCAACTCGAAAACACTTGCATTACAATCTGCCGGATTGACTCCTCGTGATTTGATATCCATAATCAAAAAATCCAAGAAATTGGCCATTAAGCGATTGACGAAATTGTCCAAAGAACTCAATATTCCAGTGCTTGACCTAATCAATGTTGGAAATGGTGGGGTCATCACTTGGACACCTGAAGATTTCGAAGCTGCCATTAATGAAGCTCGAAACCAATTTAGTGATTCCATCGGAGCTCCTCGTATCCCTAACGTTAAATGGGAAGATATTGGTGGGTTAGACTTGGTCAAGGACGAAATCTTGGATACTATAGATATGCCGTTAAAGCACCCTGAATTGTTCAACAATGGGTTAAAGAAACGGAGTGGGATTTTATTTTATGGTCCCCCAGGAACTGGTAAAACATTGTTGGCAAAAGCTATTGCTACAAACTTTTCGTTGAATTTCTTTTCCGTCAAAGGTCCTGAATTGTTGAATATGTACATTGGTGAATCCGAGGCTAATGTGCGTCGTGTTTTCCAAAGAGCAAGAGATGCCAAGCCCTGTGTCATTTTCTTTGATGAATTGGATTCGGTGGCGCCCAAGAGGGGTAACCAGGGTGATTCTGGTGGTGTTATGGATAGAATCGTGTCTCAATTGCTAGCAGAATTGGATGGTATGAGCAGTGAAGGAGGAGATGGGGTTTTCGTTGTTGGCGCCACAAATAGACCAGATTTACTAGATGAAGCGTTATTGAGACCTGGTAGATTTGACAAAATGTTGTATCTTGGAATATCCGACACCGATGAGAAGCAGACCAAGATTTTGGAAGCTTTGACAAGGAAATTCCAGTTGGATGATGGGGTTGATTTGCAAAAAATTGCCGAAAAGTGTTCATTCACATACACCGGTGCCGACTTTTATGCATTGTGTTCCGATTCTATGTTGAATGCAATGACGCGAGTGGCTGGTGAGGTTGATGAAAAGATTAAAGCGTATAATGCCGATATGGTTGCCCAGGGTAAGAATGAGGTCAATTCTAGGTGGTGGTTTGATAATGTTGCTACAAAGGAAGATACCACTGTTTTGGTTAAAATGGAGGACTTTATCAAGGCACAAACTGAATTGAACCCTTCAGTATCAGCTGAGGAATTGCAACACTATCTTCGAGTGAGAGAGAATTTTGAAGGTGGCAAGGAAAAAGCTCAAGCTAAGCTTGCAAATGGAAATGAGCCGATCAATGGTTCTATACAATTTTAAGTAGATTCGAGCTCTTTCAAAAATGATACTTTGGCCTATATACATTTGCAGGTTTTTCCTTCAATGCCCATTGCTTTTTTCTCATTGCACCTAATTTTTCATAGCTTTGGTGCATCAGTTGTAGCTTTTTGATGAATTTCGATTTTGATTTATTAGTCAGTTCAAACTGTTCACTTAATTGTTGAATTGGCAAGTCAAACACTTTAACAAAATCTTCTTTTGAAACGGTTTTCACTCTGTTAATAGAGTACAGAACACGCCATGATTTTGGCAAACGTGTAGGTAGGAAATAGTACTTGGTCTTTGTTTCATCGATAAAACTATCCCCCATTGAAATAATATACGACAATAGCGTTTTGTCTTTGATGGAATTGCTATTGAATTTTTGCAACTCGGTAACGTGTTGTTTGGTATTGACTATTCTCTGTTTCTCTGTAATATCTTGTTTGAAATCCGTTGGGAATCGATTCCCAAACAGCTGCAACTGTTCAATCTCACTTTGCAATACTGGAATTGCATACACCCTCAACTGCTGCGTCCGTGCGTAACGTTGTTTATAAGTTTCAATGACTAACCGAAATGCAGTACCTTCCAATCCACTAGCTTCAAAGTCCTTTATAATGTGATCCCTCAATAAAGTTTCCCATATCTCCAAGGAGAATTTAAATTGTGTTTCACCAATAAAAGATGGTAATTTATCCAATTCATAATGTGCATCCAATGTCGTGTCTTTGGAATCTAACGCCAATGTGCTGAATTGTGCATGCGAGTAGAATATCTTGTCCAATTCCTCCAACGGTAAATACTGAAACCCAAATATCGAATTAATGTTATGATAAGCAATAAAGATCCCATCCATTTGTCCAATTCTAGCTTGGAACAAGTATTTGAGTAGAGCTCCAGATTTGATTAGGTCACGAAACTCCTTTTCATAACTTTCGTACTGACCTGTTAATTTGTAAATCTGGTAATCGGTTTCCCCCACATTGGGATCTCTTGAATTATATCTTATATTGCTTGAGGCTCTAGTTTTCAAATCAAAAGTACCATTGCCCGGTAATCTCTCATCAAAACAGTCCAATTGTGACCGCATCAAAAACTCTCCATACGACGAATAATTGTAAGCATTCATCGGAGATGGGGGTGCTTCGTCGAGATTGTCTTTTCTAAACTTGACAAAGTCATCTTCCGGATTGGTCAATAACGTCTCCATACAAATACCCATTGCACTAAGCAATATTTCGGAATCACAAGATTTGTCTGCCAGTAGTGAGTATATCGTTCTCGTCTTTTCATCATCCATGAATGTTCCCTTTGGTTCAAGGAAAGTGCTACTAGGTAGTTTTGTAGCTACACCACTTAAAGGTATCTCTCCAAACCTTGCAACTCTTGAAGGTGTGTAATTATTCAACAACATATAAAATTTACTCAAGACCGAAGTCATGGATGAAGTACTCGAGTAAAACTGCTTTTTGAACTTCTTTGCATTCTCAAACAAGGTCTTGTGCTTGTCGACGGGTGTATAACTACCCGCGGCATCAAAGTTAAAGTCCTTGTAATGTATCACATTCTTCAAAAATGGAGCAAAGTTGTACACCCGAGTTCTAGGATCTTGCAAAAAATGCACACCAGGTGAAAACAAGACTCGATCTAGATTGTGAGCTAGTTGGGGGATATCGGACTTTTTGGGTGCTATACACTGATCCAATGTCTTCTCAATAGTATCCTCTGACGTGAATCGTACAGTCCCTGGCTCACAATCCACTTCTGTAGACGACTTGCCCAACTTTGATCGCCTTTTTGACAACCTCCCTTTCGGGCTTCGTTTTTCAAGGCTTTCCATCTTCTCAAATGCCTTTTCGAGGTTCTGAGCATCTGCATTGTATGATTTGTCGGCAATTGCAATTTTCAGACCATTTGGTTTCTTAGTGTCTTGTGGCTCCTTGAATGATGGGGCTGCTTTGGCATCTTTGAGCATTGAGATGATTTTGCGCCCCTTACTTTTTGTTTTAGCCTTCTCTGAGACTTGTAATGCTTCACTATCTACTTGGTGACTTGAGGTCAAGCCATTGGTATTAGCCTCCGTGGGGGGTTTGGTAGAGGCTTCATTTTCGGAGCGGTGCAGTTTCGAAGACTTCAGATATGGTCTTGTAATACGGTTACTTGGGACCCTTCTCAAAGCAGTTAGGGAACGTGAATTACATGGATAGTACCATATGCACCGTACAGATCTCATGTTGGGTTGAGCTTTACAAATTGTCCGCGAAGAGACGTGAAACTGACTCGGCATCTCTTTTGCGCGTTTCGCGGAGATTGATCTAAAGCTACCATGTGAGATATCAATTCAGAGGTGCAATACTTTGAAGAGCTGCTCTCCAGTGAGACCGTATACAGTGCAATTATGGAATCCAATAAGGCCGAAAGTATGCTGCAAATATCGTGACTCACTCGCTTGAGGTCAAATTAACCACCCACCTCAAAAGCCAGTTGAGTGATCTTATCTCTTTAGATAAATCGATTTGGCAGTACACTCGACGTCAATGAAAGATAATGCACTGTCTTTATTGTAAGAAAAAACTATAATGACGACTGACAAACTCAGCAACATGTTGTCCCGCAGATGTGTTGACCCTACCTGACCCACCAAAGCTCGAATTTAACTAACACTTGGTAGCCGTAAAATGAATAGGGCTTAGCCCTAGATACAGTTGTAACACAAAAAAATTAATTGCTTGTGTGTGAGCAGATGAAAACAATACAAAAGAAAAAAGAGCACTACCATGCATTAGTAAACATACATGCACACATACATTCTCTCTCTCTCTCTCTCTCTTTCTCTCTCTTTTTGTCTCTCCCATAGAGTAAAATCATCACAGAGTGCGAGAAACCCAAAGTAGTGAAAAAAAATCTCACCTAAAAAATTAATCAAATTACCTTTCCAGAACACCTAATCAAACCAAATCACTAAACAATGGGTATGTCGAACTAAGCAAGAGGAATATTCGTTGAGTTGACAGTGGAGAGTCTACTGTGCCCCCCCTTCCTGTGGATCTAGAGCAGAGAGCTGGATAGCACCACATCTACGAGGACAGGACACATACATATATTCCGTCATTTCAAATTGCCTAGTCTAATACTAACATCAATTTTTTTTTACAGGTAGAGTTATTCGTAACCAAAGAAAGGGTGCTGGTTCCATCTTCACCTCTCACACCAGATTGAGAAAAGGTGCCGCCAAATTGAGAACCTTGGATTACGCTGAACGTCATGGATACATCCGTGGTGTTGTCAAACAAATCATCCACGATCCAGGTAGAGGTGCCCCATTGGCCAAAGTTGCTTTCCGTGACCCATACAGATACAAGTTGAGAGAAGAAACTTTTATTGCTAACGAAGGTGTCTACACTGGTCAATTTGTCTATGCCGGTAAGAAGGCTTCATTGAACGTTGGTAACATCTTGCCATTGGGATCATGTCCAGAAGGTACTATTGTTTCAAATGTCGAAGAGAAAGTTGGAGACAGAGGTGCATTGGGTAGAACTTCAGGTAACTACGTCATCATTATCGGACACAACCCAGATGAAAACAAGACCAGAGTAAAGTTGCCATCTGGTGCTAAGAAGATTATCTCTTCCGATGCTAGAGGTGTCATTGGTGTTGTTGCTGGTGGTGGTAGAATCGATAAACCTTTGTTGAAGGCTGGTAGAGCATTCCACAAGTACAAGGTCAAGAGAAACTCATGGCCAAAGACCAGAGGTGTTGCCATGAACCCAGTTGATCACCCTCATGGTGGTGGTAACCATCAACATATTGGTAAAGCTTCTACTATCTCTAGAGGTGCTGTTTCAGGTCAAAAGGCAGGTTTGATTGCTGCCAGAAGAACTGGTTTGTTGCGTGGTACTCAAAAAACTGCTGATTAATTTACTTGTACAATTTAAATAGTTTTGGGGTTTTTTGTTTCAATAATAAATATACAAAAGAGAGTAATAACTAGCATAAGTAGATTATGGGAGGAAACACATTCACGGGGAGTTGATTCTAGCATTGAAATTGGAGCTTTGAGTCAGACCAGGACTAACTATCATCGATGTTGGGTCTGGCGATTCTAAATTGGTTGGTTCAGCTGGAAAAGTGTGCTCTTTGTTTTGAGTTTCCAAAGTTGTTACCTGCTGCTCATCATTTTGAACAATCAGGTTTGCAAAAATATCATCTCTTTCAACTTGTGTTGCTTGTTTCGTCGTGGCTGGCTTCAACTTAACTCGTTTCCCCATAAACTTTTTTGGCTTTAATGCCTCAATAATTTCATCCACGCTCTTAGTTGATGTATCTACAGTAATGATAGCACTATAGTAAGAACCTGTAAGGGTCAATGGATTGACGATTGACGTTTTGTGTCTGCATATGGAGATGTCGTTAAAGTTGTAATCGCTGAAGAAATCCTCAATTTCGGAATACGTGATTTCTCCTCGAATCTTTGAAATCAATATCTTGCCTGTGGATGAAGCACCGTCAACTGGTACCACAACCGGTACCACAACTGGTGCCCCATTTGGAGTTACATTAGCATTTGAAGTTTGAGCATTGGGTTCCGCATTTGACTCCGCATTTGGGGCATTCAGTTGCACTCGTGGAGTAGGAGTCACCAAACTTGTACCATCTAACCAGAACCTGTGTTGAGGGTTGTAGGGTTGGAAAACGGTGGCTGTGAGAGTTTTCCCGTGGAACAGTTTCCCATCAAATTCCTTCACTGCTGCCTCCACTTGTTCAGGACCTGCTAGCTCAACATAGGCAAATCCAAAGGGCTTGCGTCTCCCACTTTTGCTAAACCTAATTGTATAAGTAGGGACTAGGATGGCCACACTAATAGGTCAGTAAAGGATTGACAGTAGTTGGCATGCTAATAGTGACTACTTACGGACGATATTTCTCAAACAAGGCATACAAATCTTCTTCAGTAACTGCGTAGTGAAGATTCTTGATGTAGACGCGATAAGGTGGCTTCAATCTGGTACCTGACATCGTGATGGTAGATTGTGTCGTGAAGGAAGGCTGTGTGGAGAGAAAGAGAGAGAGAGAGAGGGAGAAAGAGACAGAGGGAGTTTGGTTGCAAAAATAGTATATGAGGAGGAGGACGGAGACGTGAGGGTTTTACTAGCTTAGTATCGTACAATAAATTTCCTAGTTGATTGGGAGATAATTTTCCGCAGATTGCCACGCCCCTGCTTTTCCCACTTTTTGGTTTCTTTGTACTGGTCGACGATGTTCTATATACTGTTCAGCCAGGCTTTGACTATCATAGTGATCCTCTGTTTATAACTAGTTTGCTTGGTATTCTCAAGCGTACAGACTTCATCAGGGTAGCGCATCCTTCTCAAAAAGGGGTTCATTGCTGCGAACAACACCGTACATTAGAGAAACTTGACGTATCAGCTGAGAGATAAAAGAAATAACTTTGAAAGAAATACAACCGCCTGTAGCTCACACCTTGCATGGAATTCGATCGCCATCACTTCAGTGAATTTGTTGGTCATTGCACCCCAATTCAAAAAAAAATAAAAAGAAAAAAATATAGACAGCTGGCACATGAAAATTCGTAAAATCTTCACAACAAATATCCTTTATTCAAAAACTATTGAAACTAATTAGCGGCTCTAGCTTTGGCCAAGGCTTTGGCAGTACCGTGCAAAGCATATCTGTGGTTTCTTCTGAATTTAGCATCAACACCTTTCAATGATGGGTACTTGTAGGTCTTTGGCTTCTTGATACCGTTCTTGTGAGCCTTCTTGTTTTGGTTATGGTTGGTGTGGTTCTTACTTTTAGCCATCTATTATATCTTGTTAGTAAATCAGTCCCTTGTTTTGATGCCTTTACAGCTTGCCTAGATGATCAAAAAATTAACGCAAGGACTCCTCCTTTGACGATCCTGTCCCGCAAATGACTGCCCTTAAACAATCGCCATCATTCTTTCCATCAGCGAGCAGTTTGTAAATATAGATTGGTGGTTGGACATACCTTTGTTGTCTATTGATATGTTTTGTATATGGAAGACGAAGCAAACCAGTAAATAATTTTTCGTCTACTTTGGAAATGCAAATGCGTCTGGGAACGTTTGTACGAGCGCCGCACAAATTTTCCGGATTCGGGAGTATGGTTATAGCCCTAATGAAAATACAATGCACACAACCTCTGCCCAACACAACTGCTGTTTGTGTGTTACGCTACAAGCTCTGTCAGTGAAACAGTACTTATTATTCACTATAAGATATGTATTACACTCTAGCTAGCTTCAGCAACTGCTTTAGCTCTCTTTGCAAGCTTATCGTTGGCTTTTGAACCCATTACACCACCACCCCAGTGTTTCTTATTCTCGTCGTACTTTTCGAGATAGTTGGCATTGATGGTTGAAACTAACTTCGACAACTCTCCTTCATCAGCAGAGTTGACTTCAGTTAAAGCTGCAACAGATGAGGTCTTTTTGTGAACCAAAGTTCCCAATCTGGCTTTACCTTTGACAATAGCGTAAGGAATACCCATCTTCTTACACAAAGCTGGTAAAAATACAACCAATTCAATTGGGTCAACGTCATTGGCAATGAGTACTAGCTTGGCCTTCTTGTTTTCGATGAGTGAAACCACGTGATTCAACCCGTATTTGACAACAACAGGCTTTGGTGAGGCATCCTTAGCGGATTTACCTTCGGCTACAGCAGCAGCCTCTTTGGTCAATCTCTCCTTCTTTTCTGCAGGAGTCTCTGGCCTGTACTTATTGAACAATTTAAAAGCTTGTGCAGCGGTGTTTTTGTCAAGGGTGTAGTTGAATTGGGCGATAGATGGAGGGACCTTCAATCTCAAAGACAAAATCTTCTTTTGTCTTTGCAATCTAACATATTCTGGCCACTTGACAAACCTCGACAAGTTTCTCTTTGGTTGAATTGATTGTCCAATACCAAAGTTCTTTGGTGTAGACTCAAGCAAAGGATTCTTGACGGTGGTAGATTTGCTGGACTTGGCTGCAAATGGAGCTGGAGCAACTTTCTTTGAGGAAGGCTGTGTCATTGAATAAAAGTTAATAAAAGGTGTTCTCAAACTTAATCTCAACGAACTAGTCCCTTTTGTTCCCACTTTTACTCTACAATATCATGATAATGTGATACTCAGCCTGCACATCAAGGAGCGATGTCAGGGAACCTTATCACCACTCCAAGATGCACAAACGCGTAAAGCGATAGATGTGACAAGGAGGATGTTGTTCCAGCAATTAACATACCATTTAGTAATAGTTATTTGGTGTATTAATATAGACGAAGAATGGTAAGTTGTGATGGTTAGTGGAATAAATTTTTTATTTTTTTTTTTTTTTCAGCTCTTCAAAGAAGTGAGACAAAGAGGGAAAAACAGAGAAAACAGGAAAAATTTTTTTTTTCTTTTTCTTCTCTTTCTCTCTTCGCCTGATTTGAGCGTTGCTACACGACTTCTGAAAGAGTATAAATACTAGCCATTCCCCTGGTCTCCCTTATTCTGAAAACCAAATCTCTTTGCCATTTGGCTTAGATCCAGTGTAGTATCTGTTCTTTTCAGTGTAACAGCTGAAATGTCATCATTGATGACTTGAAATGTTACAATATTCAATTTTTGGAGATAGGCGAGTTTGGTTTTAAATGGGCTTGCTCATAACCAACTTGCACAGTGTCGTTGCCTTCATTGGCTTCTGACGCGAACCACCACCACAACACTTTTTTTTTTAAGTCCTTTTATTTTTTTAGTCAAATCTGTGCCTCCATTGCTGTAATGGAGTCATGATTGGGATTTAAAGAGAATATAGAGTGGTGTTGGCATCATAGTTGTGTGTGTATAAATAAGTATATGTCGGTAGATCTTGCACCAACAAGTACTGTGCTAGCTAATATTTGGATGCGTCGTCGATGAAAAGTGTTTGATTGTCTCGCTCTCCGTGCAGTAAATTTTTGTGACCCTCTTATCAAACACAAGACGATAGAATCGGAATTCACACACAGTCTATCCCCTGCTCGCCCCCCGCCCCCCCTCACTCACGTACAATCATATAAATGGATCTGATATCCTCAGCTTCAGTAAACTTATTCCCAAGCCTAAGAAACAATGAGGAGGATTCTAAAAGTTCTGCGTCTCTACGACGACTTCGAAATGCATTCGGGAAAATGGAAGAGGTTGATTTGTCAATCCCTGATGGGCATGTTGATCTATCAACATCCCTGACCGAAGATGCAATATCACTTGATTCAAGTTTGATCACTGAAATGGCACATAATGCCGTATTCGAGGACGGAAGGTTTAAATACTTACGGACATATGAGCGACTAGCAGCAGAGAGAGGTACGAAGGAGATGGAAATGGGCAATAGTATTCCTTTACAAACCATTGAACTAAATGATTTCGAAAAGTTTGTCAAAGAAAGCGCTTTAAATGACAAAATTCAAGGTCGAGTTCTTGCCAAACTTCCCAGAGTGCAGCAGAAGGAGACTATACTAAATGTTGTCAAAGAGCAAGATCTCGCAAATGATTTTTATGCAAGTGGGAATGAAGCATCAGACATTAAGAGCCGACGACCAAAGCCACACAAGTCTGAGAAGGAGTTTGCATCCGATGTAGAGGATTTATATTATGCAAGCAGCAAGGACAGGCTACATCGAAAGTTGAGTGTACGACATTTACAAATGATATCACTTGGTGGGACCATTGGAGTCGGGTTGTTTCTAAACTCTGGAAAAGCGATCAATATTGCTGGTGGTTTTGGTGCACTACTAGCTTTTGCGATAGTTGGGGTGGTTGTTTTGTGCACGATGATGTCTTTTTGCGAAATGGTCACCTTCGTCTCTGTTATCGATGGTGTCTCTGGGTTGAGCTCCAGATTCGTTGATGATGCGTTTGGGTTTGCTACAGGGTGGCTATATTTCCTTAGCTTTGCCTTTGGTGTAGCAGGTGAAGTGGTTGCCGGAGTCATTATGCTATCGTATTTCCCCCAGCTCAAAACCACCTCGAACAAAGGAGCCACGACAGGGTTTGTTTTTCTTTTTCTAGGCTCCATTATCACGAGCAACATCATTGATGTACGGGTCTTTGGCGAGATTGAATATGTATCAAGCTTGATCAAACTACTTTGGGTGGTGGTAATGATGATCGTAATGATTGTTTTGAACAGAGGAGGATTTGGAGGTCCTGCTTTAGGTTTCAAGTATTGGGAGCACCTGAAGTCAGATTTTGAAAACAATATAATTTTTGGACTTTTCCGACCCAGCTTCAATTTGAACGACAATGGAACCAACCCTCCCAGTGATGGGATTGGAGGCGACGCTGGAAGATTTTTGTCATTGCTTACAGCTGTTCTTGTAGTTTGCTACGCGTATAGTGGTACTGAGATTGTATGCATAGCGGCATGTGAAGCAAGAAATCCAAGGAAGGCATTGCCGTCAGCAATGAGGCGGGTTTTTTGGAGAATCGTTATATTCTACTGCTTATCTGCCTTTTTGGTTACGTTGAATATTTATGCTGGTGATCCCAGATTACTCAGATACCTTCTGGGTAAAACGGGGATTGATGCGTCGGAGTTCCCAACTAACATCGCCATCCAAACCGTTGGTGGTGTTCATTGCTCGAATGACTCGTCGGTTTTTGCTGGATTCGGAAGTGGTGCTCAGAGCCCTTGGATAGTCGCTCTTCAAAGTGCGGGTCAGTGCGATTTCAGTACTGTAACAAATGTGTTTTTGGTGTTCTTTGCCGTTAGTTGTGGCAATGCACAATTATATGTCAGTTCGAGAACGGTTTACGCTTTGGCTTTGCAAGGGAAAGCGCCTAGATTTCTTACGTACTGCAACAGGAATGGGATCCCTTACAATGCCGTTATGCTTGCAGGTGCGTTTGGTCTATTATCTTTCACCTGCGTATCTGAATCAGCCACTGTTGTATTTCAAAATCTAAACAGCGTCATCGCTTCCTCCGGAATTTTTGTTTGGTTTGCCATGTGTTTGACGTTTATCAGGTTTTATTTTGGGTTGCAAAGGAGGCCAGATATAATGAGCAGAGATGACCCATCGTACCCTTACAAGTCACCTTTTCAACCATACACCGCTATTATTGGTACGTGTGCCACTCTATTTATGGTCCTAGCGATGGGCTTTGTTGTGTTTTTGAAACACGAGTGGAACACTTTATTCTTTTTTTCAAGTTACGGACCATTGATGGTATTTGCCGTGCTCTATGCTGGTTATAGGGTGATAAAAGGCTCAACAATTACAAGCTTAGATAGACTTGATTTTGACTCCGGCAGAACTGAGATGGATCGTTACATCTGGGATGGAGGTACAGACTACAACCACAAGAGCTTCAAGGAAGTTATGCGTAAATGGCTATCATTCTTGGCATAGTAGGATGTGGATGTGAACATCGTGGTTTATCCTTCCGAGGGTCCTTTTCTTCAGAGACATGTGTGTCAGATCTTACATAATCTGAAATTATCGCTTAGATTAATATTGCACAAAGTTACAAATTGTATAGATTTTAAAAAACTCAAACCGATTGAGTATAGTGTGAGGATGTTGGCCATCAACGAGGTCCAGCAAGAGGATATGGCTTTAAGCCAGACGAGCCAGCATCGTATGGGTTCCTTCTCTTTCTTTTTTCTCTCGTATTGGCCATTGAGATTGATGTGTCCAATGTACTGTGCGCCACCTCTCTCCACCTGAAATTCAACATTTATTAATTTTCTTTCTTTTTCCCAATTTGAATTATTCTCTAGAAATAAAACACAAAATCGACTCATTCGAAACTTTTTTTTGACGACAAAGTAATGCAACTGGAAATCTTACAAAAAACCCCCCTTGTCGTCGAATTGAGCTAAAAAAAAAATTAAACATCACTACTATTGAGCGACGTTCGTTTCTTCTCAACATCATGACTTGGACAAGAACAAACGCCTTTCTCAAAGGTAGAATTTTGAAACCGTTTTTACCAAATGAAAGACATCCCCATTTGAGAAGCCCACACTTTAAGAATTTGTACCCTGGTGACCAAGTCTTTATTTTTGACGTCAAGGATGACAAATGGGCAAGAGGGTATGCCGTGGTGAAACCTTGGCCAAATGAGTATATTGCTACCTCAAATAACTTGGATGAATTGCCGGTGCAAAACGTTGAAGTTGTTATTTTCCCCTTAGCTTTCGTCAAGATTACTGGCGAATTGGCATACCCAGAGTTGGAAGTTAATGAAGAATTCAATAACATAGTGGATGCTTCGACGGTTCCTACCATCGCTGACCTGGAAAAGAACCATAATGAAGCCACTAATGGAGTGCAAGAGAATTATTCAAAGCCTCAGATTCCACCTTTTCCAAGTACTTACAACGAGGTTGAAAATTTGAGCGACGAAACCAAGTACACATTGGAATTACTTGCCTCGCATATTTTTGCGTTGTACTCAATGGGCGAGTTTAGACTCTTTGCCAAATTGGTGCTGATTTATCATGCTTTGAATGAAACAAGAATCAAGTTACTGTACGACCTTTTGACAGAGGATGAGGCTCAAGTTGCAAGAGAAACTGTTGTTTTCTTGTTTAACAAAATCCCCAAATTACTTTCATCTAAAACTGCTAGAATTGAAACAAAAGCATATGATTTAGAGAATGACGACACTGATGTTTCTGGATATAAGTCCATTTTAGCAAGAGACGCATACAATGGCCGTATTCTTCACTGGGGCAATTCGAATCCAGCGATGATTGCATTAAACAGTGAGTTAGGTGGTCTTGACCAAAATTTCCCAATTAAAATTCATAATTCTGTTGAAAAGTACTCGTTGCATCCACCATTGGGTAGAAATTTTAGACATGAACCACCTTCCCATATTTTGGTTGATTTTAAATCCGTTTCAGGTTCTTCTGCTTACCAGCCTCCAGGATTTGCCGGTACAATTGCTTACATGTACCTTCGTAACGCACACAGGCGTTTAACTGAGGCTTTTGCTGTCCATACAGATTCAGTCGATGACTTGGTAAACGTTGAAAAGATTAGTGCTGCGTTGTTTAGAAATGTTCCCTCAAGTGAAATTGTCAACAATAAAGTTTTCCTCGTGACTGTTTTAACTGAGGAGGTTGATTTAACTTTGAAGAACTCTCCTGCGCCACAGATTAGACGAGTGAAAAGGGGTATCGCTGCTGGTGTGGCCGATATCACCAGAATCTTCTCTCGCAATACTGGATCGTTGCAATCAGGCGAGGCACACCACTTTTCCATCAAATTGTATGGATCCTACATCAACAAGCGAGGTGATTCGTTTGATGGAGTTGAGAACAATGGGTGGGGAGAGCTTGTTGATCGAATCATTGCAGGTACAAGCCAAGGAATAGCTGTGAATCCTAGAGCTGAAAAACTAGTTGTCACCGTCAAAGAATTCAAGCATCAGTTTAGCTCGTCCAACAATGACATGGTCTCAAGCTCAACCCCAATTGCTAGGATCAAGCCAATCTTTTTTGACCCATTGGCAGAAAATTACGAGCGTATTTATTTAAGGATGAGCCGAGTCCATTTGATCAAAGGCGGTGCCAAAGATGACTTGTTGACATTTGAAGTTAGCACACCCAACAATGAGCTCATTACGTTTGCAAAGGCTTCGAATCAGTTGGAAAAGAGACAATGGCAGTTCATATCTGTCTTTTCGGGTGAATGTATTGGTGAAATCGTCAAAGTTAATGGAGTCTCTTTGAAGAGTCCAAATAAGAAGCCAATGAGAGATGACTTCATTTTGTTGTCATTTTATGTGAACGGAGTCTTGACCGGTGAAGGAAAGCTCTTGTACAAATCAGGGAACCGATTGGTTGAATTCAACAAAACGAAGCCCCACGTTGTTGAAATATTTTCAACCTCGCAAAATATTCCAATTGCTCGCGTTGAAGTCAATACGGAATATGTGGGTAAAGTTTACAATTCCGACGTTTCCATCGATAACATTTTCCAATATGAAAAATATTTCAAGTTGGGGCAAAAGGGACTTGACGAATTATCGAATTCGTTGGTTGTTTTTTGCAAGTTGGAGCTTGCACAATTGCTCAAGTACTTTAGTGAGCTTTTTTCATCCTTGCTTGGGATTGTTGAGAATTCATCCCGCCACTCTGGACTGACAATTGAAATTTTAGAGGACAACACATTCAAAGCAATCATCCACTTGTTGGATATCTTATTCGGTAAGCAGGAGGAATACTTCCATTTGATTGACGATTTTATGGTGAAACACACCTACCCTGAACAGGTGGGTATTTATTTGATTAACAAGGTTAGCGAGTTATTTGGTAGAGCTACTGTCAATTGGAATTCTGTGGCTAGATCTATGTGCAGGGTCAGCACTGTTTTGTTGAGAGTGGCTTTGAAGACTCTTCGAGAAAGTGCCGACTTGGAAGTTACTCTCAATGCTTTAAATGGATTATTCATGTCGGTTGAAAAATTTCTCTCTGTTGATTCTGCAGCCTTAGTCGAGGATCAAGTGTTGGTATTAGATAGTCTTGATTATCTTATCAGTTTGAAGTCTCGCATGGATGATCGTACGTTGATGGACATGCTGATTCGGTTCATTGACTCCATTGGCCTTCGTGGAATGGGTGCAGACGAATTGAATTACGATGGAACTATCAAGAAGGCAACAAAAGAGCACAAGATTCCAATCAGCAAGCTTCTTTTGATCTTGCGTTTGCTTCACGGACCGCTTGTGGAGAACGATGACGTGCGACATGTTATGCTCGCAAAGTCGATTCAATGGGCTATAGATACGTTTCTTGGACCAATGGATGTGGAAGCTACTAGATTGGGCTGTAGTGTTCTTAACAAGGTGTGCACTATTTTGTGGGAAAGGTCGTTACCTTTTGGTAAGGATTTAGATTTGTGTTTTACGTTAGCCAAGTTCTTACCAGCAATGGCGAGAACCTTTATTCGATACAACAAGTTCACTAGAGGAAACGATTATTTCAAACCAAAGCGTATCCTCACGCAATTGTTCCCTACTACTTACCCCTTCAATTCATTCACAATCGACCAAGCAGTCAATGATGAGCTGTTGGTTGAAGTTTTGGTAGAATTAGCTGTTTGTTTTTCATTTATGGCAAAAATTGGTAAGGCAGCAGCTGGAAACGATGGATTTGGACGTATTTTAAACACGGAAATTGAAGGTGACGTTTTTGATCCATCAAAATATTTAGCAGCGGACTTTCATGGAGAAGATCTTTTGACAGTTATATCTGGGATCAGGTATATTAGGTTGGGAAAGTACTTCCCTGAAGACAAGTGGCTATCATTGTATGCGACGATTGTTGATGGGTCAATGTGTGCTTTGGAGTTGGTGAGACCTTTGATTGTTTCGTATCAACTTCCGCCTATTGAGGAGTCGGAACATTTTGATAGAGTGCTTTGGGGTAACTACTTGAAGGCATTGTTAAAATTGGCGGTTCTTCCACCAGTAGCTGTTGAACATTTGTCCAATGTTCCTGGTAGAGCCTGCTCAGAGATTACTCGCAATGTGCGCGATAGAGCTGCATACTTGATCAATGAGGCTTGGGATGCGTTGGCGTGGGATTCTACAGAGTCGGACATTATAAGATTCAACTTGAACAAGTTTGGAGGATACCAGGTTGAGTTTATCAATGACGAGTTCAGCTTGATCCCTGAATTGGTGTTGTTTGGGCTTCAAAGAAATGACGAATGCCAATCTGTTGCTGTGAAAATGATTTGGTCAATTATGGTTTCAGAGTACGTGTTGAGTGGAGAATTGCGCGAGGTTGAGAAACAATGTCTCATTGGCCTCTTTGAAGTGTATCAGAAAGCTTCATACAAGCCATCCAAAGAGGATCAAGATAATTTTATCAGGAGAATGAAGGCAACCATTAGGTTGGATCGCGAAGATGAAGCGTTTGGAACTTTCTACGAATTTATTCAAAATATTACCACCTTCTGCGCAACATTGGTATATTACATAAGTGTCCCTGTTGGTCACGAGTTTGATGAAGACAGAAGATTCCACAACATCAAGTTGAGAGCACAGATCAAAGCAGCGGGCAAACCCGAATACTTCAATTCGTTTATTGGCACCATGTACGATGATTATATTCGAAAAAACGATTTCGTGCAAGCAGCATTGAGCTTGGAGTTATTAGCAGCAACATATACCTGGGATCATAAGGAAATTGTTCCTGCCAGTTTCAGACCCAAGTTCCCCGAACAAACCTCATTTGAGAGAAAGGAGTTGTTGTACAAGATGATGGCCACCAATTTCATCAAAGGAAAAAGTCTTGAGAAGGCTGCGGATACTTTGAATGAATTGTTAGATGCTTACAACGAGCACACTTATGATCTCAAGAGTTTTGCGCATGTCCACAACAAATTGGCTCAACTTTATTTGGATTTAGAGTCTTCAGATAAGTTGGAGCCGTCTTATTTCCGTGTGGAGGCGATTGGAACTGGGTTCCCATATTATATGAGGGTGATTTCGCAGATCTATCAGGGTTTGCCTTTTGAACACATCACTTCTATTCATGAACGTTTGTTGAAGGTTTTCCCTGGTGCAATCATGATCAATGATGATGCAGAGGCGCAGAACTTGAAAGAGAATAATGTTACTGGAAGATATCTCTTGGTTAAGACGGTTGAACCAGTTTTTGAATTTTCGGATAAGCTTTTTGGCACATCGTTTGGTGTCAGACAGTATGCAAGGAATAAAGACTTGAGGTTTTTCAAGAGTGTAACCAAGATTCCTGGGTCCACATCTGTATTTGATTTATGGACAGATCAAACGACTTATGAATCCTGGTTGAGCTTCCCAACGTTAATGAATAGAAGTTTCATTAAGTCATCCGAAACTGTTAGATTATCACCTTTGGACAATGCTATTCAGACAATTACCAAAAAGAATGACGATTTGATCTTGTTGGAGAATTTGATCAACACTGCAATCAAAGACAAGAATGATTATCTGTCACACTTCAGTGATTTGTCCAGACAATTGAGTGGAACTGTGGATGCGCCTGTCAATGGTGGTATTGGACAGTACAGGTTGTTCTTTACTGATCCAAGGTACCAGGACAAGGAAGAAAACTTGATCAAAACTGAGTTGCTCCATAAAGCATTCAAGGATATGGCGATTGTGTTGAGCCGTTGTTTGACATTACATGGCAAATTGTGTCCTCCCGGTATGAGCTCTTCTCATGAGGCGTTGGTGGAGTTGTTTGAAAAGAATTTCAAAGAAGAGATTGAGAGTTTGAAATTGGCTCCTAATCAAAATGATGTTGCATCATCTAGGGTGTCGCTCTTCCACAGCAAGAGAGGCGACGTTTCCTCGTCTTTCAATGACAGAGCATCATCCTTCCACAGTTCAAATCAATATCAACCATCGTCAGCGAGTGCATCCATAACCGGAGCTGGATTGGAGAGGTCAAGCACGCAAAACTCTTCCCATTCTGGTAGGTCTGGCAATAAGTCGACCCACTCATCTGGGTTTACGAGTGGTGTGGTCTCCACTGGCCAAAGCAGTGGAGGAGGATACTCTCAATTTTCAAGCCTAACTGGAAGAAAGACTGCTGTGTCTAATACAACTAGTAAAAGAGAAGCTCCCAAAAAGGTCAATGCTCTCAACGGGCGATGGTAAACCCCTATTAAAGGAGAGGTTCATCTTGTGATGGAGAGCTAAACATTAGAAATTAGTATACAATTTATATAGAAATATACGAAAAATAAAATAAGGTGGTTTTTGTGTGTATTTATGTCGATTTTGTTACGTAATCCACACTAAAACAGAAAAACCTGAAATTGTTATTGGAAGAAGAAGAAGAAGAACAACAAAAGTAAAGTAAAGTAAAGTAAAGAAAAGAAAACAAAAGAAGGGGGCGGACAAGAGAAAAGAAGAAAACAAGTAAAAGTACACGCACACACACACACACAACACACATATGTAGACAACAAAAGAAAAAAAAAAAATAAAAAGGGCCATGCGACATTTGAACATTCTGAATCTTTGACAGGTTTAACGTCAATTCAAGAGAAACACCACCCACCAACGAAACCACTAATTTTTCCAATAATATTGTCAATATGTTTAGAGTCACTGCTAGATCAGCTGCACGCTCATTGAGATTACCAGCTCAAAAAGCTTCCTTCATCACCCCATTGAGATTCTACGTTGCTCCACCAATCACCAGGGATGAAGTTATCAACCGTGCTTTTGAGGCATTGAAAACAGTTGCTACTTTACAAGGATCAAACATATCCTTGGAGAGCTCATTTCAAAAGGATTTGGGATTAGACTCGTTGGACACTGTTGAAGCTTTGGTCGCTTTGGAAGAGGAGTTTGATTTGGAGATTCCAGACAAAGTAGCCGACGATATTAAGACTGTTGGTGAAGCTGTAGACTACATTTTGAAAGAGGAAGTCAAAGAGGATGCTTAAGCAATGTGATTGTGATAGATATGACGAGTGAAAGTTGTATACAATTAAACACAATTAATATCAACAAAGTAATTTGTTCTTTTTTTCTTTTTCTTTTTTTTTTTTTTTGGCCTTGATTTGACGGTGTAAGAGAAACCAATAGTGCATCTCGTAGAAGGTAGATAAGCTAGTTCACTCTGGATAAGCAACGTGCATATGTAACCTCTTAGCATTATGTCAATTGAGGCTTGCAGCTCATTATTGTTAGGCAATTGCTGATAAAGGAAAGACGTACGCTACCAAAAAAATCGGACACCAGAACTTACCACCTTTTTTTCAGCTAGAACCACCTTTCGAAAATGATAGACGTTATGGATGCAGAAGCTTCTCTAAGCAGCAAGGATGAAGAACACAAGCTCGATACTGATGCAGTCCTCTCGCAAACAGAAGAAGAAGACAATGCACACAACGAGTATGATGATGACAACGATGATGGCAACGATGAGGAGGGTACTAATGGCGCAGTTGAATACCCAGGTACAGTATTGCCAGACAACAATCAGCAAGAGATTGACGCCGATATTGATTTGACAGCTGGATTAGAGTCTGACGCCGAATTCATTGATCTTGTGCACTTGAAAATTGGCTCACTCGAAGATTTGAACTTGTCACGATTCAAGAAGTTGGAATCGTTATGTTTACGACAAAATTTAATAACCTCCATCGTTGGAGTCAAAGACATCTCATCAACTTTGGAGGAGCTAGATCTTTATGATAACAGAATAAATCATATATCGAGTTCCATAAAGCATTTGACAAATTTGAAGAATCTCGATTTGTCATTCAACATGATCAAGAATATTAAAAATATTGAAACGTTGGTAAACTTGGAAAACTTGTATTTCGTGGCTAACAAGATCAAGGAGATAAAAAACTTGGATTCATTGACCAAATTGGTGAACTTGGAACTTGGAGGAAACAAGATTGAGGTGATTGAAAATCTTGATAACCTCGTCAACATTACCCAGTTATGGCTAGGGAAAAACAGGATTCATAAATTGCAGAATTTAGACGGGTTGGTTAACCTAAGAGTTCTCTCGATACAGTCAAACAGGATAAGAAAGATCGAGGGCCTTGATAAGTTAAACAATTTAGAGGAATTGTATTTGTCTCATAATGGTATCGAGAAGATAGAGAATTTGGAAAACAACACCAATCTTCAAGTATTGGACGTCACTTCCAATAAGTTGACTGACTTGTCCGGATTGAAGCATTTGACAAAATTGACTGATTTTTGGTGCTCCTACAATCAAGTGCTGAGTTTTGAAAATGTGGGCAAGGAATTGGGCAAGTTACCTGACTTGGAGTGTGTTTATTTTGAGGGAAATCCTATCCAAACTGAGAATCCTACAGCATATCGCAGAAAATTGAAATTATATTTGGGTCCATCGTTGAATAAGATTGATGCAACTTATATACATGGGTAGAGTCTGTACTGAATGAAAAAAAAAAAAAAAAATTAAAGTGAAGTATTATTGTTGTTGTTGTACCTTATCNATCCAACCCATCCTTCGTCTCTTGGATTGACACAGTATCCATGTGCGCATTGTGTAAAAAAAGTATACAGAAAGTTTCCTACCTGCATCAAGTAGCAGCATGAGTTGTGGGGTATGATTGCTGTCAATGATGTCATTGTAATTCCATTGCATGTCCTTGTAGCTGAAAGCCACTACAAAAGGAATGAACTTTTCCCATCATCTTTTTTCCCTATAATCTGGATTGTCTTCAGCACAACCATGCTTTCGTCTTGGGGTAACTACCTTGATCATGAATTAGACAAGATGATGTCTCGACCACGCAAGTATGTAAATTCAGTGCCCCCGCAGTCCAATCCACGGCGTATCGTTCAACGCCATGCTCCAGGAAAAATCTACCAGAGCTCAGAGGAAGACAGAGAGGGTCACTTGGCACTCAGTAGCTCTAGACATCCCCGTGGATCTGAGCTTTGGCACGACGACCACCAGTTTGTCGATGATTTTTGGGACAAGTTCAGTTCAGGTAAATACTTCATTGGATTTGATGATTCTTTGCATTCAAAGGAGAAGGATGACAAGTATATGGTTTCTTACGATGATCCCGGATTGAAACAGGATGAGGTCAAGGTTGACTTTAATGAAGAGGATAACGAGTTGGTGATACACGTGGATCACGAGGATCATACGGATAGTAGTGCAAGTATTAAAACATACCAAAGCGCAGTGAGGTTTGAGAAGCCTATAAAAGCACAGGAAATTAAAGCTGAGATTGATGATAATGGTATTCAGTTGGTTTTGCCAAAAGTTCATGCAGATGATGAGTATATCCATCACGTAGTGGTAACACGTAGGGACAACAATTCCTTGGGAAATTGAGTTCAGAGATATGGTGTGGTTTATGTTATGACATACATACATACATACATACATGTTAGGTAGGTAATAATTGATATGTGTGTAACAGTTTCTTTTGCTTGTAGTGACATTATTTGGTTGCAAAAGCTGAAGAATTCCAAAAAAAAAATTGTTATTAATCACAACTAACTTCCATCATTCCACTTTAATCATCCTTTCTGTCTATCAGCATGAAAGAAAAGATGAGAGAGTTCAAATCAAAGCTTGTCAAGTTATTTCAAAAGGAACGGGAGAAGGAAGCTTTAACGTTGAATAGAAAAGTATTTGACAAGTTGTATCAACCATCCACAATCAGCTCCTTCTCAGAATCACTCAAATGCAAGTTGTTACCAAGCTCAAACCTTGAATCAGCAAGCACGGACCAGTTCAAATCCCCCACGAGTCCAGACTTCCACACTTCTCTGGAAAATAGGGCATTTTTTACACCCACCTGTAACGATCAACATCAGCAGCCAGACTCCAAAAAGTACACCATGGCCCAGTTGTGTTTGCTCATTGATGATGAAATTGCCGACATTCAGAACAAAAGCTCTCAAGACATACCAAGTCCCCAAAGATTCCTTTCAAACTCAAGCTTGGCTACAGTTACCCAAATACAAAGTGTCAAGTTTGATAACAACAAGTTTAATAGCAACAAGTGGGGTAGTCTATACAATATCAACCAATATCCTTCTGATCTGAAGCAGTGGTCATTTTGTGAGAGAAGAGCAGCAACTACAGATGCAAAGCAACCTAAATTGATCAAAGTTATCAAAAGCAAGACTCAATACTAAATCCTCAACTCTATATAAATTTCATGCTCTAATCCAATTTGTTATCTTCTGACCTGTAATTATCCAACACTATTCTGTATATGAATGAAGGCGCAAACCCACCGACATTCGTTATAACAATATCAATATGTTCTGGTCGAACATAGTCCTCTAGTGGATTAACTACCACTTCAACGTTATCAACCAAATCAAAATCTGCATAACTGAGTACCTTCCCCGAGTTCCCAACCTCAATTAAATCGTTTCTCGTAAATGGGTACAACGGCGACAATTTGTACAAGCCTGAGACTGCAAATACCGGGGTTCTGTGTTCCTTGGCACATTCAACAACACTAGCAACCCCACTCAGGGATAAGCACCCTCCATTTGCAAACACGGCGTTGGTGCCAATAATCACCTTTCCAACTCGAGACATTACGGCATAAACTGTGGTATCGGGTATTATCACAGTTTCGATGTTGTTCTCTGCCAAAGTTTTAGCAAATACTTGTGCCTTTTGCAAATCATTGGGGAAGTTTTCCGTAACTAAAACGGTAAACTTCCTCTTCAAACGGGCCTTGAGCAAGAAATGCAAGATGGTGTCAGATGTAGGTGTGGGCGTTAGCAATACTTCGTTGTCGTGAATCAAGTCAATTGCCATATTGTTTAAGTCGTCATTGAAGTTGGATATTTCATCAACTAAGTCCCTTATACCTTGAATGATAATGCTTCTCATGTCGCTTGTTTGCTTCTTGGACTGAGGCGCTCTTAGCTCCTTTTTACCCTCTTGTTTGTTTGTAGTTGTAAGCAAACTAAACATGGAACTCATCATTGGTACATTGGAATTCGAATTGGAATTGAAATTGGAATTGGAATTGGCATTGGCATCCGTTGAGGCATTTGTCTCCAAGCCAGTTTCAATTTCTTCGCGAATGATTGCAAGCACACGTCTCACAATGTTTCCAGGTATGATTTGACAAGGGTTCGCCTTGTGTAAAACAGTTCCGACTTTTCTAATCAAACTTATCAAGTCGTAGGTATTGGTCCATCTTGCTGCCGATATAACTTTCATCAATAAGTGGGCAATTACAAGAGCGACTTCTTTATCCTCATTGATTTGGTGACGCTTGAGTGTAGCCACCACCGGGTTCAATAATGCCTGAATCTCAGGTGTGATTGTGGACATGTGTTGGGTAAATGCTTATGAATTGATGATTCCGCTGATGTCTGGTTGAGTAAGAAAAAATATATATAAAAAAAAAAGAAACCAAAAAAAAAAAAAATTGCAATAAAAAAATTCGGAGAGCTCAAGTTGGATCACGAGAGATCTGATCTCTACAGTGTAACTTCTTCAACTTACAAATCACTTGTGCTATTTACACTTTTTTTTTAAAAAAACTAAAGCTTAATACCAATGTGAATGCTGGCAACTCCAAAAGTCAAGTTCTCGTAACCTGGTTCAGGTACGTAGAACCCAGCCTTTTCGATCATTGACTTGAATTCCTCTTGCTTTGGAAACTTTTGTATACTTTCAACCAAATACTGGTACGACTCTCTATCATTTGCAATTAGTTGACCCATTAATGGCAATAATGAAAACAGGTATGCTTGATAAGCGTAATCAACAACAGGGTTCTCAACTTGTGAAAATTCCAAACAGGCAAAAATTCCACCTGGTTTCAACACTCTGTATGCCGTATTCAAACCCTTTTGTATATCGGTAAAGTTTCTAATACCGAATGCGATAGTGTAGACGTCTTTAGAATTGTCGGGAATTGCATCCATAGTTTCACCATTCTGGACAAGAAACTTGATACGATTCTTGCCTTCTTTGGCCCATTTCAGTTTGGCATATCTCAACTCACCCTCTTTCAACATGTCAGGGTTGATATCAGCCACAGTAATTTCACTCTCAACATCGCCAAATCTCTTTTCGGCATGTTCTAATAACCCAAATGCAATATCCCCAGTGCCTCCAGCCACGTCAAGAAATTGCAAAGGTTCCGAGGACGATGGCCTCATTCCAGCATCCAATCTGTTGATGAAATGGTGTTTCCACAAACGGTGGACCCCCATGGACATGACGTCGTTCATCAAGTCATAGTTTGAAGCAACTGATGAAAAAACTCCTCCCACCAAGTTTTCCTTTTCAGAACGATTAACAGTTTTGTAACCAAAGTGAGTGGTATCTTCAGCTGGCGGTGGTGGTGGAGGCGAAGCTGCTGTCTTGAGGTTGTTTTCATATGATTGTTTTGGTGGGGGTGGTGGTGGTGACCCTGAATAGAGTCTTGCGGTTAGTGCTCGTGAAGTAATCGGTTGAGCCAGTCTTGCGACTGACTTCAATGCACTGCCTGTAAGTAATTGGGCAAGCATTTGAAGTTGAACAGGAACAGGTACAGCGGATATATGAGCAGTCTTCCTTTGCTGTTACTTTTTTTTTTTTTCTCGCGCTCTACTAATGAACCTTTTTTTTTTGCTCAGGGTTTTGTTGAGGAAGCGCTCGCCAACTAACAAAACGAAACGACTACATCAACCACATTACTCTATTGCTATTTTGATTAATATACAAAACGACCTGTAAACAAGCTATATTTCGCTCAAGCTTGGACAATTCTGACAGTGTTGGAGTGTCCGGAACCTTTAGTCCATCCTTGAACAGTAACAATCGAGTCACCCTTGGATATAATACCCAAGTCAATAGCTTCAGAAACAGCCCACCTTAATCTGTTCTCGACATCTTCTTGCCAGTTGGCAGCCTTTTCCTTTTGGTATACAAAGGGGTACACGCCTCTGTACAAGTGGGAGTATTTGGCACTTCTTTCATTTCTGGTAACCATCAAGATTGGCACATCTGGCTTGTATTTTGAGACCAATCTAGCTGAAAGACCAGAAGTAGACAAGACAACAACAGCCTTGGCATCTTGCTCGTAAGCTGCAGACACTGCAGCAACTGCACATGTTTCACTGGTTGGTGTTGGCTTCTTAGCCAAAGCTCTCAATTCGTTAAACAATTGTGGGTAAGCAATGGCTTTTTCTGCAATGAGACAAGTATTGTGCATCATTGAGACAGCCTCGTATGGGTAGTTACCTTTAGCGGTTTCTCCTGACAACATAACACAATCGGCACCATCCAAAATAGCATTTCCAACATCTGAAACTTCGGCTCTGGTTGGTCTAGGGTTGTAAGTCATCGATTCCAACATTTGAGTGGCACAAATGACTGGTTTAGCAGCAAGGTTACACTTTGCAATCAATTGCTTTTGAACAACAAACACTTGTGGGGCTGGGATTTCAATACCCAAGTCACCTCTAGCAACCATAACACCATCAGTAGCCTCCAAAATGTCATCAAAGTTGTTGACACCTTGTTGGTTCTCAATCTTGGCAATGATTTGAATATCTTTACCTTCTTCACCAAGAACTCTTCTAATGTGTCTGATATCATCACCAGATCTGATGAACGAGGCAAAAATCATGTGGACCTTGTTTTTAACACCAAACTGAATATCTGAGATATCCTTCTCTGACAAAGCTGGCAAGTCAACATCAGTGCCTGGTAAATTGACACCCTTGTGTGAAGAGATCTTACCGGAATTGATGGATTTAACTTTTAAAGTTTGGTCATCGAGGACTTGCAAAACCTCAAATGACAACACACCGTCATCGACATAGATAATCTTACCAGGGGAAATGACCTTGGTGATGTTTTTGTAGTCAATGTACATAAGATCTTGATTTGATTTTAACTTGTATGCGTCATCAGTGGTGAAGATCATTTCATGTCCTGGTGGAATCGGGTAGTCCTTGTCATCAATAGTGGTTCCGGTTCTAATTTCTGGACCTTTGGTGTCCAAAGCAATAGCCAATGGTCTTCCCTTGTAGACTTCCTCTGATTTGATACAATTGTCAATTACAGATTGATGGTAGTCGTAGGAACCATGGGAAAAGTTCATTCTAGCAATGTTCAAACCAGCTTTTCTCAATTTGACCAAAGCCTCAACGCTGTTTGTTTTAGGACCAATGGTACCAATAATCGAGGATCTTCTTAAATATTTGTGAGGTGTTTGCTCAACATTCAAGTTGGCTAACCATGATAAGGATGAGTGAGACATTTGTTAACTGATTATAGCAATTGAGGGTCAACGATGTAATGCAAAAGTATAGAAAGTAACTCCTTAAGCTCTTTGAAAGAAAGAAAGAGAAAAAAAAAAAGGAATTGGGAAAAATCGGTATCAATTTATTGATTGATTAATTAAAGAAAAATAATCCAGCGTTTAATAAAAAAAAATCAAGTGTATCTCATCCTCCTACAAATGTTTACACAAAACAAAACAAAACAAAAAGTTGAAAGCAAACAAAGCAAATAAGAAAAACTCCGTAAAGGAGTGAGCCGAAGTGAATACAAAAATGGAAAAAAAATCTTGAGTCCTTTTTTTAATAACAATTTTCATTCAAACACGCTTTTCCAACATAATGATAGTAGTACACAATACACACTTATGTTGGAAAGTAAAGAGGGGACATCGTCCGTGACACAAACTGTCATCCGTTGCCATTCTACAGAACTGCGATTGTCGAGAAGCATCCATTATATTTTTTTTTTCTCTAGCCAGCGGACCAACTACTGTGTTGACTATGTAGGATATCGATCAATACAGCAGAATCCCATCCACCTTTTGTAATCCATTATCACTATATAGAAATATGTGGTGTACACCATTGAAACTGCTGAAGGAATGGAGAATCATAAACCGAAGCTACAGAATCTTTCATTTCAACTATTTTTAGACCAAATTGCAACCAAATTATATTCAAGTTAAGCCACAAGTTGTTTTGTAAACGGAATGGATAATCACTACCTATTAATGTCATGGTCTATGTAAGACTTGCCGATAAGCTAAGAGTTGGGATTGGCAACTATTATGTGAAAGTCATGATCAACGTTCACGACATTGAATCCGACACTAAACTTTTGCGACAGACGCCCAAGCTCTTTCTATTTCTTTTTCTCTTTCATTTCAATTGAGCCTTTTGAAAATAATCGAATCTAACCACATCTCAGACATATGCCATGGTCCTACCGATTGTTCTTGGTGCGGGTGTGACAGTGGTTGCCCTCACTGTGAAAGCAACCATTTCCGCATACACGAAGTATATGAAGTTGACTCCGCAAATGATAGCAACCTTAAACAACATCAAACTCACCAACCCCATTTCAACAACACTCAACAAATCTGACCCAAATTATCTACACTACAAGTTTTTGCGTCTGAAGTATCCCAATAGAACTTTCCTGACACCAATGACGGAGCAGGAAGCGTTGTTGATTTTGGGAATTGAAGGCGACGACATTCTAAATGTTGACAAGAAAATGGTTAGAGATCGATATAGAAAATTGATGGTTTTGAATCATCCAGACAGACACGGGAGTCAATACATCAGTCAAAAAATCAACGAAGCAAAACACGTGCTTGATAAGAGCTACATGGTGAATAAATAATTGTATATATGTATATGTTTGAATAGACGAAAAACTCTCTTCATATCACGAGAGTATCACGTGTAACTTTGTCGACGTAATAGAGAGCGATTGACGTGGACACGAGCACGTCGTGTATGTTTTCAATGACGTATTCCCTTGCAAAGACAAAGACTGCGTGCACTCAAAAGAAACAAACTCGATAAAGATTTAGAGGAAAAGTATTTGACTCAGATATGAAGATTTCCGATCGCCCGAAAGACAGATATTAGAGATCATCGATTAAACGTTCTATAACATAAGCCACACGCAAGACTTACTTGATGAGTCACCTAGTTGTTCTGCTACAAATCATTTTATAGATTGTGGCACTGGCTATGAGAGGTGATTAGTAGTATAACTCGTTGATGGTATAAGCTTCCCACGCTTACAAATTTTTGTATGCCTCGAGAATGGCTGTATCCTGCATACAAATGCCTTCACCCTTTCACTTTCAATTTTGTGGCGTAGACTGGACAAATCTAATCCATTATCTTCTCTTCTCCCTGGTTTCACATCTCGTCACCCGTATAGAGATCAACTCGTTGTTTCTGGTTTATGATTTTTCATTTGGGAAGAACCGAAACCGAGAATATCTCTATTATGAGATAGTCAAGCGTATAACAACTCTTGCTATTATAACTCGGAAGTGTTAAAAGTTGAATTGAACTGAAAGTGCTCATGAGACAACGGTCAATGATGGTATGTGATTTCCCATAGTCCTAGCTCACCTGATTGAGAAAAGATCGCCTTTACCTGGTGCTTTCTTCTGCACAGTTTTAGGCTGAACGGAGAAATGTCAATCGACAAATTACACAAAGTGAAATTCAACAGAAGAACAAAAAAAAAAAAAACAAAAAAGAAAAAAGAAACGAAGCGCACATGATTGCAAAAACAATTTTTTTGTTTTATTTTTCAATCAAATATTGCCACTTTGGGAGTGGTTCCATATCTCCGTTATTGTCATCATTAGATCGTCGATATATCCACAAATTCTTTTTCGATTACATATATAATCTCAATTTCTCTTATCTCCCACTTCTTCTTCTTCTTTTTCTTCTTCTTCTTCTTCAGCATTTGTTCAAATACAACCATAATGTCGACTAGAGCAACAACCATGGAAACTTGCGAGTATGAACATAGTGACAGTACCCGCGACGAACTACTATCATCATTATCCTCGACTTCAATCAACTCGTTATTTGACAGTGGGTCACAATTCTATTCAAGTTCCACACTTCCTGGATCATCAACAATCACACCAGTTGTATCAAATGAGTATTTGGAATGTCAACGAAACAAAACTATAGACAAGTTGTTTCAACCTAAACTAAAATCATACAAACACCACGAATCTCAGCAAATCCCAGAAGATAGAGTAAAAGTAGTCGTGCTACTAGTTGGACTACCGGCAAGTGGGAAATCCACCTTGTGCCATCAAATAAAAGATTTTGTCAACTCCAAAACAAAGTACGGATGCGGTGTCTACAATGCTGGAGATGTCCGGAGGAAAAGGTCATTGGCCTTTAACGATGCCAACTTCTTTGACCCCAACAATAAGTCAGCCCAGCAGGACCGGGACCTTTATGCCACAATCACCCTAAATCACTTGTTAGCAGATTTCGACAAGATTGATATCGGGTTTCTTGATGCAACAAATACAACCGTTGAAAGAAGACACAAAATGTTGGAGCTAATAAGTTCTAAAGACATACCCGTTGTCATTCTTGAAGTTGAAAGTATATTCTCCGATTTTAATATCATCAGCGGGAAGCTCAACAATGCCGATTACATAAACAAGGATAACAGGATGGCCTTTCAAGATTTTAAAAATAGGCTACGTCATTACAAGAGTGTGTATGAGCCAGTAACTTGGGAAGAGTTGGATACATATGGGGATCAAGTGACAGCATACGTGAAATGTACAAATGGTGGCGAGAGTTTTGAGTTGACCAAGAATAAAGAGGTGGAGGAGAGGGAAATGGATGATAAGAAGAACGGGGTTGAGGAATCTGGGTTTTGGTACTTTAAAGTGTTGCAACAGTTTATTGATCAATATGACGAGCTGGTTGGAATCGAGTACAGAAAGAGTGCAAAAGAATTTCGTATAGATTGGTAGTTGGGGAATAGACTGGACATTTTATAGACTTTTATTACTTTATACATTCTCCATGACAGCATTCACATTATTGTTCAATGTGTAGTACCATGCTCCCACTTTGTCATCTGTGTAAACAGCATCTTTCCAAGCCATAGGGTCATTAGGTCTTGCGCGTGACCAAAACCTAGCAGTCTTGTCCGATCCAGCTGAACAAAGAAGATGCCCCATGGGGTGATACTCCAACGCATGGATTGCCTTTTCGTGTGCATAAGGAATACGATGTGCCGCCTCGATGGAGTTCGTTTCATTAGTTACGCTGGTATTGGCCCTCTTTGGTATTGAATCGTTGGAGTCTGGAATGTAAGTGTTTAGCAAGTAATGGTTGATGGCTCCATTGAAAGCAGCTGTAGTCAACAATGATGCATGATGTGGATGCCATGCGCAGCATGAAAGATCAGTTTCAGAATCCCGAATCACCAACATATCCTTCATTGTAGTCAAATCAAATACACGACAAGAACGGTCACGCGACACTGAGGCCAACAATCTCTTTGTCCCGCATGGTTGAAACCGAGTTGTATTCACTGTGTGCTTGAACCCGTGTAATGTGGTAATACATTGTGAGGCTCGAGGATCCCACAATTTGACCAAATTATCTTTCGATCCACTGACAATGAGTCCCAAGTCAGGATGCCAATCAGCACTTTTCACTTCCCAATTGTGACCCGTCAAGGTCCTTTCTTCTTGGCCATTACTGAAATTCCATATCTTTATCATTGAGTCGTCACCACAAGTTAGGAATTTAGAATCATTTGGAGAAAATGCAATATCTCGTACCCCATTTGAATGAGCAGTTATATTGTTGACATTATTGAAATTAGGTTGCCAATATTTGACAGTTCCATTCTGGTCTCCACTTAGCAACCATTCGTCGTTATTAGAATATTTCATTGTCAAAATGGGGCTTTCATGGGCTTGCATAATAGTTTCAAAGTTGAATGTCATTCCATTCCATAAAGTAAATTCACCCGAATGCGACGCAACCAAAAGCCTTCGTCCTTCGGGAGTCCATTTTACAGTATTTATTGAATGCTTGACTTTGTTTGAACTCAAATGCGTCAACTTTGTTGCCAAGTCTAATGCCCCCAAGTTGTTTTTATTATTCCTTCTGTCAAGATTGAAGCTTGAGGAGTATGCTAATGAAGGAAGTAGATCAATTAAGTAAGAGCTTTCGGGTCGTACTACTCCAATAGGCTGTTGAAGACGTGTATTTATGCCCATGGACTTTTCTATAAACCAACGAGTCATGTTGTTTCCATGATCAACTGTTCTTCTGAAAGCTTGCTTTTTTTCTTGACTAGCAAGCTGATGATCAATGTTTTGCAGAAAGTTCAGGCTTGGTTCTCGTTGGTTGTATGGTGGTTTATGTATCCTGCCACCTTGCTGGTGGCTCTGATAAGAGTTGTATGACATTCGAATCAGTCGATGAGGGGTTAATATGCAGCGAAGCGATTGGTAAACCTGGTGTCAATTTTTTTTGTTTTTTTTTTGCAAGAGATAATACAGCTACCAAAAGATCACTACAGCCAAAGCTTACTTCTGTCTATCGTTGAGATGTAATTGGACCCGACATGCAAGTGAGTAGAGCTACTAGGGTGGTAAATATGGTATCACTTAAAACATCCAGAGTGATATAATAATGAATTGAGGCAGTGGGCAGTAAAAATAGTATAGAACTCAATTGTTCGGATAAAGAAGCACCACGAAATACACGCGACAGTTGCTCTATATACTCTCTTTACAATAACAACGGGAAAATGGCCCTACCAAATAGCGTTTTCTTCAGCAGGTGTGAATAATACGAAATTGACACCACAGTTTCCTCATTAGGTAACGGCAATTAATGTGGAAAAAAAAAAAATGAAAAGTAATTGAAAAGCAAAAAAAAGAAAAGGGAAAAAAGGGAAAAAAAAAAAAAAAGAATCGGCCCTCGTGCGCATGATTACAAATTTCGCAATACAAATAGACCCAAATCTTTCTAATTTGAAAGAATAGTGTGGTTCATATTCACGTAAAGCATCTTTACCATGGTTCAACTATACTACCACGACAACAAAGACACTGAAGACAACTTCACTGACGACCACAACTCCGGAGTCCCTGTTTCATTTGAAGAGTTGGAACAACTAGGCGTTATCTACAAGTATGTCACGACACAAGAAGAACTAGACGCATTGGCCAAGGAAAGGGAATACAAGAATAGGGACAAGATTCATTTGAACTTGGAAACTTTCAAAAACGATGTGGATGCTTACAACGCCAAAATGAAGCAATTTTACACAGAACACTATCATGAAGATGAAGAGATTAGATATATTGTTGATGGGGAGGGTTTTTTCGATGTTAGAGATGAAGGTGACAAATGGATCAGGGCTAAATTGTCAAAGAATGATTTATTGATTTTGCCAGTGGGAATTTATCATCGGTTTACTTTGACCAACTCGAGAGAAGTTACAGCTATTCGTTTGTTCAAAGACGAGCCAAAATGGGAAGCCATCAATAGAGTGCATTAAACAATGCCAATGATTATATCATATAGTCCTACTATAAAATGCGTTATTTATCCTTTTACAACTTTGATCTTGTTTGATGAAATCCACTTCTCTAGAGTAGCTCGATTGTTTTTCAACTCCTTATCAACATTTTCCTTTTGCTTTGTCAACTCCTTGACCTCATCAGCTAAAATCTTTATCACTTCGTCAATTGATTTCTCAACTAGTACGCCACCAATCATTTTAAAACATTTGCGTCCTTGTCTTTTTTCCGGCGCTATTGCTGTGAGACTGCGATCAACAATGATGTGTTCTTGTAGCTGTGAAGCAAGTGTTGACGATTGCGTTTCCAATTCCTGTATTAGTTCCTGGTACCTGTTGTACTCTTGCTGCAAAATCTGAGACTTCTTTTCATCTGCAGCAGTCGATGAAGATGACATTGTGTATATGTGTGTGTGTGTG